ATTTAGAGGCCGTCCATGAACCACCCAGTGGGAGCTGCCCAGATGATGCTGTGAGGCAGGGCCTTCCCATGCTCCCTGAACCACCGGCACCAACAGGGAGTGAGTGCTGCCGTGCCGCTCCACGATGGTCCCAAGTAGCTAGTGGAGGAGCTCACAGGCCTGTCTTGGTGATCTGGGCCTGGCGTGTTTTAACCATGGAAGTTTCTATTTTGCTTTATCTAAATTGAAAGGATGGTTTTTGTCTTTCAGCCTTTAGAAGAAGCCACACTCTCTGAATTAAAAACAGTCCTGAAGAGCTTCCTAAGTCAAGGCCAGATACTGAAATTGGAGGTTAAGGTGGGTTTTAAATTATTTATGGTATGTTTTCTCAGGTCATTTTAAATTTAAAATGGCTACAGAAAGTATTAATGACATATTAGATCTGGTTCTGTACTAATTTTTTTGTAGTTAAAATTTTGTATTTATTTTAAATTTAAATGATTATCTGACTCCGTGCAGTTTTACTTTTGCCTTTTTCTAGGTGTGATTGTAACATCTTACATTCCTGTGACACGTTTATGCCTTTCAAAGCACTTTTTCATGTGTCCCATTTCCAATCTGTTTTCTTTTGTAGACTGATCCATCAATCATGGGTGGAATGATTGTGCGTATTGGAGAGAAATACGTGGACATGTCTGCCAAGACCAAGATTCAGAAGCTGAGCAAGGCTATGCGGGAGGTTATCTGAAAGTGGTTTTCTGCCATCAGTGAAAATTCTTTAACTTGGAGCCACAATAAAAAGCTTCCAGAACAGACCATAGTATGTTCACTATCTTTTAAAGTAGAATGTAGAAGAGTTTACTTTTATGTCTTTCTTTTGGGATACCAAAAGACTTTTGAGTCTAAAGGTCAAAAAGCCCTTTTGGCCTAGAGAATTTGAGTAGACGGTTTTTAGGAATGGATTGTTTAGACGTAGCACCTAGCACATGGTCACTTAGCAAAGTCTGTCTGGTGCTGCCTGCCAAAATCCCATGTTTTTAGGGATTGCTCAGAACTCCTGGTCCCTGCTGAGTCATCGGATCTGCGCTTGCTCCGTCAGTCCTCCAGGGAGGCCTCTTTCTAATAAAATACCCTTAGTCCTGACATGAACATACCTTGTCCTAGGCTGCTCTGTAGCTTTCAGGGCCATTTCATGTACTTCTTAAGCTTCATGACAGCCTTGTCATATGGGTGGGACAGACATCACCCCACTTTACAAATGAGGAAAGAGATTGAGGGGCTCAGAGTCACCTGTGTGGACAGCTGGTCGCCAGGCTCTAGAGCCCTTGTTTGTCCCACTGTACAACTGACAGCACGCCCTGACATGTTGCTGGAGCAAACAGGCAAAAGTCATCGTACGTAGGTCCCCTGCCCCTTCCCATTTTGTCCCTAAGATGTTCCCAATTCTCCTCTTATCCAAAACCAGTTCCCAGGTCAGCTCTCCCCCTACATTTTACCTTTTGGCCTCTAGAGAAGGTAAGAGTTCCCCAGGCAACAGCCCACTCAGGCACCCGTTTCCTAGTCACCCTCCAGGAGCTTTGGGCCAGCAAACCAATTCTCTTCCCAGAACTGCCCTGGTTGGGCAGGGAGGAAGTCCTAAAGAGCAATTACATGGCCCAAGGCTACTCCCTGCATTCTAGTGCTGGGACCAGCATGCCCTCCATGTGGCACGACACTCCTGGCTCTCATGCTTGGCTTCAACTCCAGCTTCCTCCTGGCAGAGCTTTTAATACATCACCTAACAACCAGCAGAGACACCAGGTGGCCCCTCAACTTTCCCAGGAACCAGGAGTGCTGAGGCTGTTGGTTGGCCTGAAGTCCATTCACCTACCTTTTAGGTGGGCCTAGTGCTATCAGCTAAAGACCGTATTTTTGAGCCTCTGGTAGTACCTTAATGTGATGCTGAGTTGTAGCAAATAGGAGAGGAGAGGAAGTGATGTGTGCTTTCCTGGACTGCCCTCATGTCCCTCTGGCTAGATGCAGACAAGATGACAAGCCATGCCAAGGGCAAAGCCACCCTTCCAGGCCCGACCGCTGCCCTGAGCTGTTAAACATGTTGAAGAAATAGACCTCACACCGAAGCCACCGGATATTGAGTTCTGTCTCTGCAGCTGAGTGCAACCTAACCACAACCTCGTTCCAGGTTCCGCCGACTCGCTGCGTGCAATGAGGCCCACTCTACACAAGGTGGCGTCATATACACAATCACAACTCCTACAGGCACGTGACCACCAATAGACAATCTGCTAGAGCCTCATGCTGCTGAATCTGCCCAGATCTTTCAAACTCAGCAACCTTCCTGTTGATCAAATATATAATCTCAGGGAATGATGAGGCGCTTCATATGTCGCCTTACAAGGTCACCAGAGAGAACCCAGAGATGTGTGTACAATGATTTGTTTTGTTTTTTGAGGCAGTCTGTCACCCAGGCTGGAGTGTGGAGGCACAACCACAGCTCACTGCAACCTCAACCTCCTGGGCTCAAGCCATCCTCCCACCTCAGCCTCCCGAGTAGCTGGAACTACAGGCGGTACCACCACACCCAGCTAGTTTTAGTATTTTTAGTAGAGATGGAGTCTTGCCGTGATGCTTAGGCTGGTCTTTAACTCCCAGGCTCAAGAGATCCGCTGGCCTTGGCCTCCCAAAGTGCTGGAATTACAGGCATGAGCCGCTGTACCCAGCCTACAATTATTTTCTTCACAATATTTTTTTAAATCAAGATGAAAGTTTTTTTGGTTTCGGGGTTTGTTTGTTTGTTTCCTTTTTTGAGACAGAGTCTCGTACTGTTGCCCAGGCTGGTGTGCAATGGTGCGATCTCAGCTCTCTGCAACCTCCGCCTCCCAAGTTCAAGCGATTCTCCTGCCTCAGCCTTCTTAGTAGCCGGGACTATATGGCGCGTGCCACCATGTCCAGCTAATTTTTTGTATTTTTTAGTAGAGACTGTTTCACTATGTTGGCCAGGCTGGTTTCAAACTCCTGACATGATCCGCCCACCTCAGTCTCCCAAAGTGTTGGGATTACAGGCATGAGCCACTGCACCCAGCCAAGGTGAAAGTTTTACAGTACCTTGTATATGGGATGTTTTTGATGCAAATGAGCTATTAAATAACGCAAGAGGCCAGGCATGGCCTGGGCGACAGAGCAAGGCTCCACCTCATAAATAAATACATAAATAATAAAAGAGTATTTAAAATGCGCACACACAAATAATATAGAAATGAAGTGCTTCAAAACTTTAACCTTGATTTTTGTGAACATCTCCATTAAGTGATTTTATTTCCTTTGTTTTTCCTTCCTTGCTGAATTTTCTGCATTAACAAGTATTACTTCTGTAAAGAGAAGAAAAATTAAATATTTGAGAGTAAAGTATTTCCTGAATTATGCTGGCTACTAACTGTGGTTAAATAGGTATTAATTACATGTTTTCTACTGGTGATTCAATCTACTCCCTATGCTATGAGTGGGGCTTCATCAGACTCAGAACTAGGTATAGTTTGGGAAAGTTAATTATTGCATTTGTTTTTAATGGCATTTAACTTTTATTTTTAGGACAGGGTCTTACTCTGTCACCCAGACTGGAGTGCAGTGACACAATCATGGCTAACTGCAGCCTTGACCTCCTGGACTCAAGAGATCCTCCTGCCTCAGCCTCCCGGGTAGCTGGAACCACAAGCATGTGCCGCCATGCCTGGCTAATTTTTTATTTTTTGTAGAGACAAGGTCTTGCTATGTTGCTCAGGCTGGTCTTGAACTTCTGGATGCAAGTGATCCTGCCTCAGCCTCCCAAAGCACTGGGCTTACAGGTGTGAGCCACCATGTCCAGCCTTAACTTATTTTTAAAACTTCAAATAACAACCAAGAAAATGGCATAAGATTTTTATGTTTTTCAAAAATGGGGCATACTAGTTTCAAAAAGGCAAAGACATGCTGCTTTAGGGTGTTTTTAAAAATGTGCTACATAACAATTCAACTAGTGTCCAAGCCAGCTAGAGAATTTAAAGGACTTATTTGTAGTCAGTTAAATCAGTGATGAAATAGGTAGGAATGGCCTTAAAACAAGAACAGGAAGAAACAACCGAATAAAATTTAGTGTTGGGTTTTATGGAACTCAGAATTACAAATCACCCAAGTTCTGAACATGTGGAGTCACGTGTGGTGGGAGAAATCTCTTCCTGGAAATCCAGTGACCCTTCTGAATGTTTTGTTTTTTTTTAAGATGGAAATCCAGTGATCCTTCTGAATGTCTTTTTTTTTTTTAAGATGGAAATCCAGTGATCCTTCTGAATGTCTTTTTTTTTTTAAGATGGAAATCCAGTGATCCTTCTGAATGTCTGTTTTTGTGTGTTTTTTTTTTTTTTTAAGATGGAGTTTTGCTCTTGTTGCCCAAGCTGGAGAGCAATGGCGCAATCTTGGCTCATACAACTTCTGCCTTCTGGGTTCAAGCAGTTCTCCTGCCTCAGCCCCCACAAGTAGCTGGGATTACAGGCACCACCACACCTGGCTAATTTTTGTATTTTTAGTAGAGATGGGGTTTCTCCATGTTGATCAGCCTGGTCTCGAACTCCTGCCCTCAGGTGATCTGCCCGCCTTGGCCTCCCAAAGCGTTGGGATTACAGGCATGAGCCACCACACCCAGCTCAATGTCTTTATAAGAAAATCAGCTTTTTGCGCCACCTCCCAAACCCCACCCATAGAATTTCTTACGCTGTACAACACAGAACTTCTCCTATTCTCAGAAATACTTTGTATAGAGAAATCTATTTCTGCGGCGTTAGATAACATTTATCTGAAGAAGCCATAGGAGAGTTGAAAGGGTTGCTGGTTGGTTTTGTTTTCTAGGTTTATTTTTGCACCACTTTGCTTGCACAGCTACAACCTTATCTGTGGGAAGAGGAAGAGACAGCATTTGCAGGGCTATTCACTTCCTGTGCTCTCAGAAAAGAGTGGGGCAGAAAGAACCCGAAATAATCCACCACCACAGGTTGGCTTTTCTCATTTTATTCATGAACTATTTGAATTTAAACCACACAGGTCAAAATGACCAAAGAGTTGTTTTTTGTTTTTGTTATTTTTGTAGAGATTGTTCTTTTTAGGTTCAAGATACACAGGAATAGCAATTTGTACTGATGTTGCTACTGGTTTGAAGAAAGATCTCAGTTACCATCATCTGAACCGGTAAAATTAACATTTCACACATAGTAAGTTGCCAAAGGAACACTCAAACAGCAAAAAGGAACCTCAGCTTCTTTCAAACAAACAAACAAAAAAGGAAAATGTTTTGGCCCTGCTTCATCAACCCCTTACACAAATACATACGTCTACAATTTACAATAGTGTCTAGCAATTCTTAGAATTCCATTAACATTACATATCAGACAATATAGTCTCTCTTTTATGGAAAATTAAACAGTACCATTATTTGGCAACAGAAGTATATTACAATCAACAGCACATCCATTGAGGGGCGGGCCTGGTCCTACCCCTGGGCAGGGCCGTGAGGGGAGCAACATGCCACCAGCACTGTGACCCGCTGGCCACCGGAAGCACAAAGAGCTCACGTCCTGGTGGATTACATTCTTTTCCAAACAGGCAAAGGCTCCTGGGAGGGTTCGCCAGCACTCCTGGGCAGGGAGGGCCCCATGTTCTAGCTTTTTTTGTCCCCAGACTTTTTTGAAACAACCAGGGCCCAAGGGCCAGTTGACTGGCTGACTTGTTCCCACTCACAGCCCTCTTGCCACCCCAGCCAGAGGGATGGTTCTAAGGAAGGAGAGTCAGGGCCTATTAGGGGTGGGTGGACCAGAGCTCCTCTGCTGGCATGCCTTAGGTGGCCTTTCAAGGCTGTGCCTGAACAAAGACATCTCTAAACAGCTCCATCCCTAGGAATAAAGCCATTATGGACCACATGGACAGTGCCTCTAAGCGATTAGCAGATTATTCATATACCTCAGTAGACTCCAGGAAGCTTCCAGAAATCACAGCTTCCCACATTCCTGAAGTCGGGAGCTTTACACAGGCCTCAAAAAACAGGCTTCAGTTGCTGGTTGACAGCATTAAGATGCATGCAGCCTGTTAAAGAAATATTGAAAACCTAACACATTCTTCAGATGTCCTTTCAGACCACAGGCCCTGAACTTCCTACCAACAGTGATCACCCCCAAAAGCAATGTGCTCAGATCACTGAAACCAGCTCTTTTTGTCACTGCAGAATTTCCAGGCTGCCAGGGGAGGCTGGACTCCTGGGGTTGCTCCCTCCTGAAATCACCTCTGAATGCCTCTCTCAGGGGTTTAGACGTTAAGTTTCATGGAATCCTCCTTGGGTGTCCTACGGGGACACTTCTGGTGGCTAGGTACAGAAAGTCTGTGCTCCAGACACAGCCTGGTCTCCTGATCCTTTTCTGGGAGGAGAGAAGGGAAGAAAGCATCCTCCCGCTGGGGTCTCCATGGGAATACGGGCATCCAGAAGCCTGCCCCAGAACAGCTTAACCCAGAAACCTAAACCTTCCATCCACCCACCCGGCTGTGCAACAGTTAGAGACGGTAAGGATGCATCAGGAAATTTCATGGAACACACAAATGCTAATTAGGGATAAACTGAATCAATCCAGATAGAGAAGTAGAAAGGGTGACCTGGAAGTCAGAGAGTAGCCTCTAGTGGGATAGCTGGGTCAGCCCCAGATCCCTAACGAATCCGCTAGAACCCAAGGCAGCCTGTGTGGCATGTAGAGCTGATAAAAAACAGGCTCCCGACCCTCATCCTTCCCGACCCAGTGCCCTCTCAGATATGTGATGTGCATACAGCCATTTTTAATGCAACACCAAGGCCTCCTGCAAGGTCATGGTTACAGAATACTTTTCATCTGATCACACCACCACCCATTACACTGAATTTATCCTATTTCCTGCAGGAAAATGAAATGACTCCTTTGAATTTCTAACATACACAACTTGGATTTGTTTAAATATATATATAAGAAATTTAGTTGAGTTGAACCCAAGTAATCTGATTAAGCATTTTCTACTCTTGGAATAGGTTTTAAATTTTTTTCTATAGTTTTATCCACTTAAATTAGATTCCTAAAATACTCTCATATACATACAGAAAAATAATCTCTCAATGACAAATCACATTTTACAATAACAAGTTAAATATTTTTGACTATAGAATCTGTGTTAGTTTATGCAACATTTAACAGCATAGCCTCTTACATACCATATATACATTTAGTCGTGGCCATTCCATAAACATACAGTGGAGATTTCATGATGAACATGAAATGAATACCCTTTGTCCCTTTATGTAGTGGGAGTTCGCATTTTTCTTAGCTGGAAACAGCACAACATGTAGAAAACCGGAAACTGTGAGCTGATCATCATCCACAGGACGATTCCATTGCAGTTTCTCATCTGTACACATGTATTTACACGTAAGTTCACCACCTATACATGTGAGGGTACGAAGCTGATGGAACTAAGGCAATACAACATGGGGGGCGGGGGCCAACTCCCCATCTATGCAGGCGGCCAAGGGATAAGAAGGGGCTGTGGAGGGCACAGACACCGGCTTGCGGGGCTACAGCAGACGAGATCTGAGGTTGATTTCACAGTTCAAAGATACTTGGGCCATTGGCCGCGTATGCTTTAAACACAGGTCTACAATTAGGTAGCATTAACATAGATCTTGCTAAAATATCTACTTTCTGTCACAGTGAATGTTTAGCAGATGACACTTTAAGGATGTTGATTTATAAAATGTACCTCAAATGTTCATTCATTAAAACTAAACGCTGATGTGCCACTAATGAAATGCCCCTGGAGAACACTCTCAGAACTTCCCATAGTCCGGAAGATTGCATGACACATGAAAACGAAGCTATAATGTGTTATATCATTCACGGTGACTCAATCACATCCAGGTGAGATGAGTTTGCAATTTCTGTTCGACCTTCTGTCAACGTTTTTACTTAGAAAATATAATCCCCTACAGAATCAGGAAACAGGATTATTGCTTGGTGTGTACGGAGATGGAGACCTATCTGCAAAAAAGCACGTGGAACTGCATAAGTTTTGGGGCGTCCAGCCCAGGGCAAGTCAAAGCTCAAAGAAAGCAACAACAGGAATCCCAGCTCCTTGGTCAACTGCCTCCCTGGACCACAGTCTTCTAGAACTTGAGGCTACTTACACGGAGGGTTCTTTTCTCTCCTACCTTCCCCTACTTAAAAGCCATGCATGGGATCCTAAGGGGAGAGTCTGGCTGGGAAGTCACAGCCTCTTGGAAGCAGGTCCCTCCCAGATACCTGCAGACCAGATCACGTGGCCCAGCTGGGCAGGGAGGCACTGGCTCCGCAAACTCCCCTTCTCTCCAGGGGGTGAAGGCTGGAGGAGCAAGCGTCCAGGGACACTGAGCACTTCTATGACCCTCCCTGCTTTTCTTTGAAAGCAGAAGGTTGGAAAAGGCTTGCAGTCCTCCCAGAAAGGGGAGAAAGGCTCCCTGTGGATGACGAAGGCCCAGAGGAAGGGTTTTATTTCCAAGCACTGAGCTCAATGGTAAAGGCTCACAGCTGCTTGATGCCCTGTGGCACACCCTGAACTGGGAGCCCAGAGCACCTGCCACCACCGGCAACCCCCTCTCTAGCCTTGGGGGAAGGCTGTGAACTAGGGGCTCGGTTCTGCACCCTCTAGCTAGTCCAGGCCATTTGCGCTTTTAGGAAATAAATGCAGACGTTTAGAAAATTATATCCACCCAGCTCGCCACAGCCTGCGGGGAGACCTTTCAAAGTAAGAAGACCTAAGACAGAGCCCACCTGCTTTGGGAACCAGCCAAGAACAGCATGGTCAGGGCTGGCCTCATGGGTGTGTGGCCTGGCAACCACACAGGGCCATGCACTCAGGAGGGACCTGAGCTTGGCTTAATGCTTTCCTGTCGCTGTCTAGAAATACTGCATCACCTGAACAAAGAGCCTTGAATTTTCTTTTGCACTCTATTCACAAACCACACGAATAGTCCTGAGCAGGACGACAGGACAGTGGAGCAAAGCGTTGTTTCCCTGTCCAAGCCACAGAGCCATGCATCCCCTCAAGTGTGCGTATGCACACACACACACACACGCACACACATACAAACACGAACAGGCAGGGACACACACGCAAACACATGCACACACAATCATACGTGCGCACACACAAGCACACTACACACACATACAAACATGCACGCACAAACGGACACACGGACACACAAATGCGCAAACACCCAACACGCACAAACACACGCACAAATGCGCACACACAAACACACCCAAACGCGTGCACACACCACGCACTGAGCGGCTGCATCTCACCAACAAAAATTCCCTTCCATCTAAAGTTCCAGAGGTCAAAGTCTGCAAGTAGAGACTGATCCAGTCCAAGTAGAGCACACCAGAACTCCTAGAACCCTTGTCGGGGAGCGGGGCCTCCTCCAGTTCGCCTGCCTTGCAGCCCACCCAGCCGATAGACACCGAAGCATTTGCAGAAAGAGTGGAAAGGTTGAGGACCTCCGTGCAGCCCCCAACCCAGCGGTAGGGAAGAGCAAGGTCTCACTGGAAACCCCTGGTGCGTAGACTCGAACCCCAGGCCCGCCGCGAGCTTCCTTCCCACCCAGCGTTCTGTCTCTGCCAGGCCCGCATTCCTAGCTCTGAGTCAGTTTTCCTGTCTTCCCCTACACCCCACATCACCTTCTGCGATCTACAAGAGCAACTCCAAGCAGCTGCGGTAGGTGGAGCCGGCACCTTGAAATCCGCCAGTGAAAACAGCGAATTTCCTCCAGCGAGTTTCCTCCTCCTCCAGGGAGACCCTCCACCCCCCGCGGTGACAGTGCAGAACGTCAGCCGCTGCTCCTCACCCAGCTGCAAAGCCACCACCCTTTCTTTAATTCCTGTCTGCCCGAGGCCCCCATTCTGTTTAGATAAAGGAACGGCAGGAAATAAGAGATTTGAGTGAAAAAAGGAGAAATGCAAAGACCAAGCAAAGGAATGTTACTCTTTCAAAAGACAAAAGTACAAAACCAGAGCTTCTGGAAGAAGAAAATATGCATTCTTTCCACTGCCTAAAAAGAAACCTTAGTTTCTGGTTAATCCTCAGGAAATATCGGAGAAACGCTGACTTTTTTTTCAAGGCTGACGAAATAAGTCCACTTTTGAACACAGCTTTGTTTGGTGGGCTTTGAACACTAAAATATTCATACTAGGCAGACGATACTAACAATATAGGCTGGCACAGAAAATAGAACAGAATCCTATTAACTCACGACTCACAAAACACCCCTGACATCCAGTAGGGGAAACTGACCCTGAAATATGACAAGCACACATAGTGTCAAAAACATCATTATGTGGTTATAATCTGGCTCCCCCAGGGCTAGGGTAAAGAGGGTTCCTTTGAATGGAGGAACTGACTGAGGCTGCACCGAACTAAAGAAGTTACTGGAAGGTCGATGTGAAATTTTTAAAATAAGCGTTGGGTGTTATTTTAATGACTTCAAGTTAGTTTGCCATTAAGAGCAATGGCAAAAATCGCAATTACTTTTGCACCAACCCAATGCAATTAAGCTTGGAATGCCACTAAGGCAGGCCCATCCGAGCTGGCTCTCAGCTTCTTAGAAGGTGTCCTGGACCAGGATGGGGACTCCCTAAATGAACAGTACATTAACTATTGAGATGTTTCTGAGCGATCACAACCCAGAGATGGATTGTCTAGTGTGCTGGTGTCTGGGTTTTAAGGCTCCCAAGACAGACAGCTGTTACATGTTTTCTTTCATGTGGACTAAGCTCCCACGCCCATCAGGAACTGATTTTTTTCCTCTGGCTGCTGCTGATATGAAGTTATGTATCTTAGTGGATCTTGATGACCTGCAGACATATCCTGGATCTGATACAGCGCAGGGTGAGGAAACAGGAGTTCTAGAACTTTCCTTTCCTCTAGCTCAAATAAACAACTGCTTTCCAAGTACCAAGAAGCAAGATCCTTACTCAGAAAGAGGAAGCTGTAGGGTGTTATTAAGTTGACCAGCCAATTACTTCCTCGGAGTCAGATCCAGCAAGAAGAGGTCTGCATTCGTTCTTTTTTTTTTTTTTTGAGAAGGAGTCTCTCTCTGTCACTCAGGCTGGAGTGTAGTGGCACCATCTCAGCTCACTGCCACCTCCGCCTCCTGAGTTCGAGCAATTCTCCTGCATCAGCGGGAGTAGCTGGGATTACAGGTGCCTGTCACCATGCCCAGCTAATTTTTCTATTTTTAATAGAGATGGTGTTTTGCCACGTTGGCCAGGCTGGTCTCGAACTCCTGACCTCAGTTAATCCACCTGCTTTGGCCTTCCAAAGTGTTGGGATTACAGGCGTGAGCCTCCATGCCTGGCTGGTCTGCATTATTTCTTTGAAGAACCCCACACAAAGCAATGGTTATCGATCGGGACCATTCGAAATAGAATAAAAATATCCAAGGGCTTGAGGGAAATATTCCCTCTAGAAGGCGGGCCCTGGGCTACTTCACAGGAAGTACAAGCCACTGTAACAAGGAGAGCGGGGACTGAGCCATGTCTTTATCGGAGACCAGGCTGGCAGGCACATGGGAGTGGCAGGGGGTGCAAACTGCAAACGGGCCTAAGGCTGCTTCTCCTGGAATGGGCTGACCTGAGGGGCCCCTAGAAAGAAGAAGTTGCAGGGAATACATTCCTTGGTCCCCAAAGGCCAAAGCAGGTGGATTAACTGAGGTCAAGGAGCCCTTAAGAGGGCTCTAATCAGGCTCCTCTTAAGCTTGTAACATTACTGGGCAGAAGAGCTTGAGGGAGCTGCCCCCTGAGGGGCAGCTGTGCGTTCTTTGCACCCTCAGTTTTTCTGCTGCTTTACAGTATCACCTCCTGAGTGCAGCCTGATGAACAAGGAAAGCCCACCTTCCTCTAGAAGGGGCCCAGGCAGGTAGGCAATTACACTGTAGCTGGGGATAAAAGAAAGAAAAGAAAATGGCCCTATTTTATCAAACATTGAACATCCTTAAAAGGAACGGAGGGTCTGTGTGCAGGAGGCCACTAGATCCATGTTTTGGTTCCTGTGTGGCAATTCCTGACCCTACCTCACCAGTGCAGGTTAGGGCTGTTCTAGGAAAGCACCTGCCACTTATACTTAATACAAGCCTGTTTCTGCCCCTGAGATCTGCCCAGAACAAAGGCTGCCCATCAATCCTCATCTGAGCTCCGCCTTCCCAGAAGTGGATTCGTCTTCTGTGTCATTTGAACGAATGAACTGGAAACAAAGAAAAACACAAGCATTTGGTCTCACTGGGCCACTCCAAGGAAAAAGAGGGAATGAACATCGTAACTAGACACTAAGCAGCCCGTGGGCCATTCCTGGAAAGTCTCTAGCAGGCATTTCAGCACCCTAGGGTGCAAAGAGAAGGAGGTGTTAGTTTTCCCTGATGCCTCTTCTGGTGGCTCAGACTACACTATCTGAGGACTCGTCACGCCACTGGTTTCTAGGGCTACAGGTCATGCTTCTGCCTGGTGTGAGCTTAAGCTCTTCTATCTAGAAACAAGACAAAGCCATCCAGGTGCATTTGTTTTCATCCCACCTTCCAGCATAGGATGCTCTAAACTTGCAAACAAGCTATCTGGACCAAGCAGACCCATTGCTAATTGCACACTCACCTCAAGCCCAAAAGGACCCTGTTATATCCGAAGGACACCAGATGTTCATGTAAAAGTGCTAGTGTCTCCTATGAAGCACATCACTAACCTTGAAGAGGAGCGGAGAACTTAGCAATCAAATCAAACCAAATCAGATCAAATCATATTTTATGTTTCCAACAGAAATTCTTAAAGTCGTCACACATACAAAACACAATTTCTTCTTATCAATCAAAAAGGCCCAATCAACTAGAAAAAAACAACTTGTAGGAGATAGAGAAGTCTTTTTCTGCCTAAACAAAGTACTGGCCTTTTCCAAAATATACTCCAGGAGCCCCTCCTTTCCAGTGAAGTCAGAAGTGCCTTGTCCATTTTTCCCTTTATCTTCAGCCGCATCGGATTCTAGAACATCCTCGTTCTGTGTGGTCAGTGGCCTTACACTTGTCCTAGCCAGCTGCTGGAGAGACAGCCAGCCTGCTCAGCCTTGGAAGGCAGACCTGCAATTGTCCTTCCCTGCTGGTGCTAGCACCTGACTCCTCTGCCACCCCAGAATACACCCATGGAGGACAAGGTCACCGAGATAAGACACAATGTGGGTGGTCAGTTTACTCATTTTCTGATGGGATTTCTTTTCACCAGTTAAATTCAGGTCTGCTCTAGATGAAATCAGTTACTTTCATACACTTAGGCCATACTTTAGGTTGTTTAAAGAGCAAAGAAGAAAAAACAATGCCTTATCTTACATGAATGTTATTTGGGCACAGAGTTTTTTCCTCTGCTGTCAGAGGACAGGGACATGTTAACCAAACAAACAAGGAAATCTGGCTCTAGTTTCTCAAGCATTCCTGGTGACCTGCACCTAGAAAGGTCCCTCTTTCCACATTAGGCCAGGCCTGGATCTGAATGAACCACATCTTCAGGCTGTAATGATCACAGTGAACCTGGTTCCAGGAGACGATGCTGTCCCTCTACCTGCCAGGATGATGCCAGCAGCCAAAGAGGCCCTGCCCCAGAGGGACTGGGATGTGAACTCTCCCTTCTAGAGAGCTGCTGAAGAAGGCTCAGCCCAAAAGGTCCCGGGGTAGTTCAGTTCTCGGGGATGACTGAGGGTCGCTGGGTAACCCTATGACCAGGACAGCCCCTTTGTGGGCTGAAGGAAATCAGCGTCCGCGGGAGGAGCTAGCAGTGTAGTTCACAGCAGAGGGGCACTTAAAGGGTGTTTAAAAGGCTGGAATCAGGATGCCAGGATGCAGTGGCCTAGAGAACTCCTATATCTAGAAAACAGAGCTAGGAGACAGACTCCTTGTTGGCAAGGGGCATTTAATTTCTAGGAAATATAGCCCAGATGATCAAGAAGGTAGAGGTGAAGGAACAGTGGGACCCGAGGGTTTGAGACTCCATGCATCACCCATGTTCCTCAATCCCCTTGACACAACTCAACCGCATGTCATGAATCACAGCTGGATCCGAGGGCCAGCCAGACTCATCCATAAGCACGACTGGTCACATGACAAAGAACACCAGTAAATACAAGGACACGGATCCAGAACTTGCTGCACAGCAGGAGCTTCTCAACAATGCTCAACAGAGTCACTTGAGGAAAAAGAGTCACATAATGCTTTCTCATGCTACATTAATTCCAATAATAGGATACTAGGAGTGGGTGACCTGGGACCTAAAAGGATTGTTTGTCATTGTGCATACCACACGCTACCTACACGAACAATGATGACCAACACTAACACGCAAATAAAGTCAATGAAGAAAAGACCGAACAGAAAACAAGAAGAGATTGGAATGGAGACCCACACTGCCCCATTTACACATACTTTTTTTTTCTGTCATGGTAACATGTCTTTCATAAATACACTGAACAAACTGTATTGGTTAGAGAGATAGGAAAGCATGAGTTGCATGTCTGTTTATAGATTTAAAAGTTTCTTAACAACATCAAAAAATATAAACAAAGTATCTTAACCATGTTTTCTGCTGGGAAATGGTAAACAAATGCATGCCTGAAGTTTAATTTGGTCTCTAATATGTTCAGTTGGAAGTTTCTAACTAAAGGGTATATCTGCTTGTTTCAAAAAATACGTATGTCTGTTGTTCTTGATACAAAATTCTACGCTATCTTCAATAAATAAATAATAAGGATTTCTTTAAAGTATGAAATGTAAACTTTGTTGTCCTTTCCAACACACACTTTTAAAACATTGCTTGAAATATGACCGGGCTGTCATGGGAAATTATAACACTACACATTCAGTTCCCAGCAGAGGGGGTACTCTGCCACGAAGCTGATGCTATCACTTGGAAAGCACTTTTACAACCCTATTTAAAGTCTAAGGACCGACAATCAAAGAGAAGACCGTCTACTGCAGGAAAGCTAGACTCCAGTACCTACAGAACATGCAAAGAACATTTCATGACCACAACAAACTAGGGTTATGAGAACATGAACATGCGAACAAGATACGGCCCCCACCTTTCATTAGCAAATCAAGTCACTATCTAACTAACCAGACTATCTCCTGGCATTTAAGGGAAAAAAAAATTAAAGAACTCAAACCAAACAGCGTGGCACATGGTCATACACTCCTGCCTCTCGCAACAAGCACATTGCTGCGAGGCTGGGGTGGATGGGGTGGAGGGTGGGAAAGTGTCTTAGGTCTTCGTCCCAGGATGTGTGGGGCTTGCATGCTCCTAGGGTCTTTCCCCCACCACATAATGGATTGCCGTCATTTTCTTCCCCAACCTCTAGCTTGACATTTTCCCTTTTCACGCCTTGGGGATCTAGGACATGGCTTCTGGGGAACGTACCAAAGACAGCTGTTGAGATTTCCCACCACAGTCAGGATTCAGCGCATTCACGCACAGAACTCCTGCTGCATGAAATATCACAGGACCTCCGAGCCAAAAGGGATTTTTTCCAACATGGCTGCCGACCGAGACAGTTGTCAAGCTGCCTTTCTGGTGACCTGCAGTGACCTGATCCAGCACAGGGTGACTTTCTAGATAATGACTTTCTGTGACCATATTCCAAGCATGCTGGCAATCAGAACTAAATCCACGCAACAATGCACCAGTGTGTTTTCATTGACATATATTAATACAAGGTCTAGAGGGGAAGGAACGGCTATAATGGCGCACATACTGGAAACTTCCATAGACCAGCTCTTGAAAGAGCTAAGCCAGGGCCTGATCAGACCGCCTCACCGAGTGATCAGCTCCAGGCAGCATTTCCCAGTGGGAGAGATGGGATTCTGAAGCAATGACAGGACCGTCATCAGTTTCTAAACGCACACCAAGGACTGGGCATCGTAGGCCAAGAAGTCTACTTGGGGACTGGTGGATGTAAGAAATAGGAGGGTTATGTGAGTTCTCCAAAAATATAGACATTGCATTTATAAATCTATTTTATAGTAACCAGACCATCCCTCAAGCCTGGGAAGGGGCTAGATTCCCAACTGCACTCTTTTGAGACCTATGGGATTTCAGCGACCCTAGAAGCCATAATGAGATCTGGAGTGAGGACAAAGGAAAACACAGCTGAGTTTCATAAAACAGGAAATTATTTTGGGGCAGGGAGGATTGTCGAGAATTATTCCTAGGAGCTTTGAGGGTCCTGTCTTTGCCGTCCCATATCCCTGTGACTGAACACCAGATGGTGGTTTCTTAGAAAAGGAACACTATTTTCAGACAGTATGTGCTGCCGTGGGCTGGGACCCTGCTGAGCACATCGAGCCCGCTACCTACGGTTCATCGAACAACTGCAGGTCCAAGCGGACCACAATCTCTCCCGTGGGGACTTCGTGCAGCAGAAGACACTTCGTAACGGGACCCTTGGAGCCCTGGTCTTTCTTGATGTCTGCCACGCGGATCTCCGTCCGGCCCAAAAAATCTGAAAAGAGAACAAACATCCCTCTTCGAGGCATGTGTCTGTCATATTGGGACCTCCTGATGAACTGCCACAACCTCCCTTCTTCTCTGGGCTCTGACGTAAACCAACACTAGGATTTCCAACTCACCCCCCAGCAGAGTGGGGTGACTTAAAGCCCCTGTTACTAAATCTATACCAAATAAATAGGAAGAGGGTGAACTACTCAGCACCGTGTAGCTGTGATCTCTCTCTGTGAGTGGCTCACAACCCCTTGGCCCATTCATTCACTGGAAATTTGTGTCTGAGTGCATGTATTCATCCATCGTGCAGCTGGGGTCTGTGAGACAGACTCCAGCAACAGGGTCTTGCTTTGTCACCTGGGCTGGAGTGTAGTGGCATCACTGCACTACTGCCACTACAGCTGCACTGATGCTCACTGCAGCCTCGATCTCCCAGGCTCAAGCGATCCTCCTGCCTCAGCCTCCCAAGTAGCTGGATCTACAAGTGCATGCCGCCATGCCTGGCTAAGTTTTGTATTTTTTGTAGAGACAAGGTCCCATTATGTTGCCCAGGCTGGTCTTAGACTCCTGGGCTCAAGCGATCCTCCTGCCTCAGTCTCCCAAAGTGTTGGGATTCCAGGCCTGTACCACCATGCCCAGTGGTGATTTTTATTGGGTAGAGGGAGAGACAGGTAGTTTCTTGGAATCATGGGGCCAAGACTATTCTTTTCCCAGCCCAAGCAGAAAGAGAAGGCTGGTTGAAGAAATGATTCATCCAACACGACTGCATCCGTTTGCCTACTTAACTGCCACAGAAATGCCACCCAAAGGGACCTGGCCGATTCTGAGGCTACTGCTGTGGGCTAACATTCTTGTTCCATTAGCCAGTTTCAAACATTGCCAGCACAGCTTTTTTGCCAAGGACTGAAGAACTATGCTGAGGCTCTTAAATACACCCGTCTCCAGAGTCACTTGCTTTAGAAAGCAGAAGATGGTAGTGTTTGCCCAGGGCAGCTGGCACAGTTCTAGACCAAGCATGCTCTGTCCACATGTGATGAAACGCCTCCAGAAGACACCTCCAGGGGAGACGGAGCCTCGTCTTGTGCCAGCCAGCCTCATCTCTTGAGAGGGAAACCCCAGGAATCCTGGCACCAAGTCCCCAGGTAAGAAAACATGAACCCACACAAACTAGCACCAGGGAAGAAGGAATCACCTCAGGGCCGCATTCCACTCACCATCTGGTGAAAACTGGTCCCTCTCAAACACAGTGATGCAGAGGACTTCCTGCTCCAGGTCTCGGATGAAAAACTGGCAGTTGGAGTTCCACTTGGGGTTTAGAGTGTCCTGGATTGTCTTAGTGATGTGGCATTGGGAACCCATGGTCACCTCGCAGTATGGGTTGCTCTTCCCTGGAGGGAACAAAAGCCTTTACCAGGTGGAAATCACACCTCATTTTGATCCCCACTCTTTTTTTTCTTTTTTTTTAGATGGAGTCTTGATCTGTCGCCCAGGCTGGAGTGCAGTGGTACGATCTCAGCTCACCACAGCCTCCACCTCCTGGGCTCAAGTGATTCTCCTGCCTCATCCTCCTGAATAGCTAGCATTGTAGATGCCTGCCACCACGCCCGGCTAAGTTTTCTTTTTCTTTTTAGTAGAGACAGAGTTTTGCCATGTTGGCCAGGCTGGTCTTGAACTCCTGGCCTCAGGTGATCTGCCTGCCTTGGCCTTCCTAAGTGCTGGGATTACAGGTGTGAGCCACCACGCCCAGCCAGCACCCCTCTTAATAACTACCACGCTTAATAAGTGGCAGATATTTCACCTGGATTTCAATGGAGACTCCAGGTGAAAACCCCCAGAAGTCAGGTTCATCCTTAAACTAAGCTCAAATAATTAATTACTTGAGTGGGCTTTGAAACTAGGCCCTTCCTGTCTCCTCACTTTGGCCTTATTCTGTGTCACAGCCACTGTGAATGCCGCCACTCAGATCCCTTGGAGAAACAGAACGGTAGGAAGGATTTTAAAAAACAAAAAACCTCCAGGTTTTTAACAAGTGCTAGTTAAACCAATTCGGGAAGGAGATGGGGAGTATGGAAATAGCACATTCAATTTGGAGCTGGGTGGGGGTGTGGGGAACGCAGACCCAGCTTCCAACCCTAAAGCAGGAGCCTGGACCACCTCAGAGCCTTACCATGTGACCGACAGGGTTTCAGCTCAATGCCTTCGACCACGTTCACCATCAACCTTCCAATGCCTGTTGCCCTCTGGGAACGGACTATGATGGCAGGAAAAACGCAAAACGCTTCATTTGAACATACAATGCCTTTCCCATGTCTGCGAGCCTCACGATTCATGTCATGGACCTCTCCCTACTCAAAAGTAATTCTCCCCTCCTCTCCTTAAACTCTGGCTTCCTTGCTCCTGGCATTTGCCCTCCATCCCCCGTTCGCATCTCACCCCAAGCTCTCTTTCATCCCATCTCACGCCCCTCCTCTAGGTCCAGGGGAATCTTCTATTTGGAGGATTCTCAGCCCAGCCAAATGGCCCTCCCTCCTGCCCAGCTGTGTGGGACACCCCACAGGGCCATGCATTACCCAGGTACGCTTTCTCGCGCTTCTTTTTCTCAGTCTCTATGTAGAGTTCAGAAGCAGCTTTGATTTTCTGCACCCAGGCAGTCCTTGGACAGAAAAAGACAGAAAGTTGCCAAACAGAAACTCAGGAAAAGGGCTTCAGGTCTGTTCAAACACTGTTGCCAGGACTCTGTTTTCTTTGTTCATTTGATTTTAACAACAAAGGCTTGGGAAAGAGAATCTGATTTTATGTCACGTGATGCTAATACTTACTCCTGCCGTCAATAGTAAAGGCATGAGGGCCATTTCCATGGATGACCTCAAGACCTGAATTCATGTTCCAGGGGAAGAAAATATGTGATAGATGCCGTCTTGGAGGCCACATCAGGACACAACTCCTCTTCCTTCCTTACTAAAGGCCAGCACATATTTGCCTAACCCAGGCCAGAAGGATCTTGTTTATGAAATCACCCAAAGGAAGAACAAAAGCCACTTCCCAGATTGGGAACCACTTCACATGAAAGAGCAGAATGCCCCGGAGGGAGACATTTGTGGCTGCTGTTTTCTCCTTCATTTTTTCTGAGAACCATATGCACAAAAGCTTTAGCCAATTTTCTTGCTTGGTGCAAATGCTCTTTGGAATGATGCTGGCCTTGTGTCAAGTTCACCCTTCAGAAAATGATCTGTTTCATTTGGCTCCAGGGCAGAGTCTTGAAGACAGATTGAAGCAAAATACCCACAGCCCTAGGTTCCAGAAGCCCTATTTAAGTGAGCCCAGGTGAGGAAGGGTTTGGGGCTGGGTGGTCCTATTAACTCCGAAATCGCTTTCTATTGCTTTCTGCCACCTGGGAAGCCAGGGGAAACGTGAGATGCTCCGTTTACCTCAAAGAATGCTACATGTTTCAAACAGAAAAAAGAAACTGCTGTGTGCAGTGGCTCATGCCTGTAATTCCAGCATCTTGGCATTTTGGGAGGCCAAGGCAGGTGGATCCCTTGAGCCCAGGAGTTTAAGACCAGCCTGAGCAACATGGCGAGACCCCAGCTCCACACACACACACACAAAAAAAAAAATACAAAAAATTAGTCAGGCTTGGTAGCACATGCTACCTGGGGGGCTAGGGTGGGAGGATTACCTGAGCCCAGGAGGTTGAGGCTGCAGTGAGCGGTGACTGTGCCACTGCACTCCAGCCTGGGTGACAAAGTCAGACCCTGCCTTAAAAAAAATAAAATAAAAACAAAACTCAAGCAAAATTAGTTTCAATCCATGTTATTTTGCAAAGTGCATGCCATGTGTCAGATTTTTGAGGGGCCGTAGAAAGAAGTAACAGCCCCATCCCCACTGCCAGCCAGAGGTATGGCGTTGCCGCTTGGGAAACATTGGCACCTGCTATTAATCACATGCCCCTTGTGTCTCCCAGAGCCAGGGGGCCCCGGGGCCCAGTGCTGGGGAGGGGCAGGTCTTACCTTTCATTTATGCTTTCTGCCCGGAGGGTATAGACTCGGTCAATGTGGGAAATGTGGAAGATGGGCTCATCTCCAGAAGGATCCGTGGGTAATTTTACTAGAACCTCATTTAGAAAAATAGGCTGGAAAGTAACACACAGGTATTACAAAGCGAGGCTGGGGGTCTGTGTGCTCTGGTAAACCATGAGTACGTGAGTACACTTATGCGAACGTCTTCTAGTAAACAAGACTGCAAGTCGGCCTGTATGTGCATGCTTGTGTGTGTTTCAGTAACCTAGACTGAGCATGTGTGTGTGTTTGTGGGTGTGTTCCAGTAAACCAGACTAAGGGGGTGTGTGTTTTCCAGTAAAGAATCCCAGAGGCCAGGCGTGGGGGCTCAAGCCTGTTATCCCAGCACTTTGGGAGGCTGAGGTGACCAGATCACGAGGTCAGGAGTTCAAGACCAGCCTGGCCAACATGGTGAAACCCCATCTCTACTAAAAATACAAAAAAATTAGCCAGGCAAGTTGGCACGAACATGTAATCCCAGCTACTTAGGAGGCCAAAGCAGGAGAATCACTTGAACCTGGGAGGTAGAGGTTGCAATGAGCCGAGATCATGCCACAGCATTCCAGCCTGGCGATAGAGCAAGATTTCGTTCCAAAAAAAAAAAAAAAATCCCAGAATAATGATTTTGTATTAATATCAACTTTTATATACTACAAGTTATAAGGATGAGTCCCCGGCCCCCCGCCCATTTTGCAGGTCTGTTTTAAGTCCTTCGGAATGAGATCTAACTGGTGTCTGCTTTTCCTGGAGTATCCTAAACAGCAGTCTTCATCCACTTTACATCAAGCAATTCCCTCCAAAGATTTTCACATGAAGTTACTAGTAACGAAATACATAGCTCTTTTCTCCCCAAAATAAAGCTAACTGCTGCTTCTGAGAAAATTCTTCTATAAAAACACCCCCATGCAGACAAATTTAGAAAAACAATGTCCCATGACACAAAGACACACAAGCAAGGACACACACAGATGAGCAGACCGTATACACAGCTGAGGGGCATTCTTCACTCAGCAGTTGTCTAGAGAGGCTTTGCCAAAAAGGGGAAGGCTCGGACGTTTCAAGCTACCCGGAGAAGTCTGGTGGGGGACTTAGGACCATTTGGAGGCGACAGTGGGCCCTGGGTGCTGTTTTGTACCTCTTCTCCCAAACTTTTTCACACCTGCCTCATCTGTACCCAAGACTTCGCTCCTACAGGCTAAGGCATGCCTTGGTCATGTCCCAGGGGACCACAGCAGCCATTTGGCAGCCAATATATATTCCATCGATAGCACTGACTGTGGGAGAAACTGCGGCGGGAGATGGATTGTCCTCCACTCCGGTTACCCTAAATCGCAGCTCAGCTCCTGGCCTCGTCCTCCACGCCACAGCCCCTGACCCTGCTAAAACTCTAGCTCCTTTTTGGAAACTTCTTCTTCCCCAAACACGTCCACTCCGATAATGCGATCTAGAATCCAACTTACTGTTTTGTACATTTTATACTGCAGGTTTGATTTGGGGCTGAAGACTTTGTCGGTGCCAGATGACCCCAAGGGCTTGGTGATCTGAGTCAGCAGGAGGAAGTCGTTGAAAAGGAAACCGTACAGCTCCTTGTTGCTCTTGGCCTTGTAGAGCTTCCCACTGTGCAGAAATTTGCGTGGCCCCAAGCAATTGGTCACAGAATTGAACACAAGTTGCTGAGAAAGGAAAACAAAACCCCAAGTGTAACGTTTTTGTTTCTCTGAATCGAGAGCACGGGCTCCCGCGACATCAGAGGCCAGGCCCCAGCACACTCGGATCTTAGGCAAAAGTCAAGGACGGCTTTGAAGACTTTGGAGCCAAGAAATCAAAGTCAGACCAAGGCACTGTTCCGGGGTTTCCAAGTATCAGGAAGAGTCTCAATGATCATTTCTGAGGCTTCCCCCAGGGGTATGCTAGTGTCTTATGGGGCAATTGGTTTTTCTCCTTTTCCTTTTTTGAGACAGGGTCTCGCTATGTTGCCCAGGCTGGAGTGCAGTGGTGTGATTATAGTTCAGGCAGCCTTGACCTCCCAGGCTCAAGCAATTCTCCCATCTCAGCTCCCTAACCCATGCCTGGCTAATTAAAAAAAATTCTGGGGAGGGGGGTGTCTCACTGCCCAAGCCAGGTCTTGAACTCCTGGCCTCAAGCGATCCGTCCACCTCAGGCTCTCAAAATACTGGGATCACAGGTGTGAGCCACTGAGCCTGGCTGCTTCTCTTTTTTATCTCCTGGGGAAATGAGGGAGCAGAAAGAAAAGTGCCCAGCTGGCTCCCACCTTGGGGAACTCCCTGCTCTATGCAGGGTCCGTGCAGGAAGCAGCTCCAAGGAGAAGATCCCACACAGGTTCAGACAGTCCTTTGCACTTGTGGAAAGCAGCAGCCCCTCCTCCAATTCCATAAACAAGAAAATGCTACCTTCCAAGGTACAACTGCAGCCCGGGCCTCTGGCACGTGTGTGACTGCAGAAACCAGTGGTGTTGAGCAACCTCTCGGTGCCAGCCAGAACAGGCACAATACTGTGCAAACGAAATGTCACCCGACTCACCTGCTTAGCAAACAGGAAGGGAGCAGCTCCCTCCCTCCACTTACTGACCCTCAGAGACACTGTGGGCGCTGAAGTGCAGTTCTACCATCTCTCTGGGGTCTGAGACCTCACCCCAGTAGGTTCTGAAGGGGCAGGGGGCACTGAGGTGGAGACGAACCCACACAGGCCCCCCACTTTTTTTGAGATAGAGTCTTACTCTGTCACCCAGGCTGGAGTGCAATGGCGCGATCTTGGCTCACTGCAACCTCCGCCTCCTGGGTTCGAGTGATTCTCCTGTCTCAGCCTCCAGAGTAGCTAGGACTACAGGTGCCCGCCACTGCATCGGCATTTCTGCCTGGCAGTGCAGGGGCTGCTTGGGTCCCTTGTCCTCAGGATCAAGTTAATGTTACTTTGCATGACCACGGGCCTCCTCTGCCCCATGGCCCATCATTCCTCTATATTCCTCCCCAGTGCCCTGCTCAGAATCTCAGAATAGCCCTCCACTCCTAATGCCCTGCTCCAATCTTTTTTTTTTTTTTAAGACAGGGTCTTGCTGTCTTGCTCTGTTGCCCAGGTCAGAGTGCAGTGGTGCAATCATGGTTCACTGCAGCCTCAAACTCCTGGGCTCAAGCAATCCTTCTGCCTCAGCCTCCCAAGTGGCTGAGAATACAGGTGCATGCCACCACACCTGGTTAACTTTCTAAACATTTTTTTGAGGAGACAAGGTCTCACTATGTTGCCCAGGCTGGTCTTGAACTTCTGGCTTCAAAGGATCCTCCCACCTTGGCCTCTCAAAGTGCTGGGATTACAGGCCTGAGCCATGGTGCCTGGCCTGCCTCCAAGGCTTCCTCCCCCAACTCCCAGTCAACCATCACCTCCAAGGTCCCCAAGAGTCCCCCATATAACTGTCCCTTGTTCCCATTACATGTCCCCACAGCACTTGGCACCCAGCTCTGCCTCCTCACCCCTCACATCTTGTTGTAAATGTTGGTTTAGCCCCAGCTTCCTCCTGGACCATAAGCTCCTTGAGAGTGGGGGTCACATCTTATTTGTTTTTGTGTCCTAAGGTTCAGTACTGAGCCGTGGCACATGGGTGGATACCCACTAAGTGCTTATTGAATGAATAAGCCTCCCTGTCCACCTTCGGTTGGTGCGGGATGAGCAAAAGTGTGGGAACAGCCCCGTGGAAACTGAAGGGACAGCTATGGGCTCACATTTTGGGATCTTTTGTTGCTCTGCAATCAGTGGATTGGCTCATTTATTCACTCGTTCTGAAAATGTGTGGTTTATCAGGCAGCAGTCACACAAGTTTACAGCCACAAGGGGTGTGATGCCCAAACCCCTATAAACTTCGTTTTGGATGATCACAATGACAATCCTCTGAGAAGGGATACAATTTCAGACAATAAAGATGCCCGCAGGTGTGGTGGCTCACACCTGTATTCCCCACACTTTGGGAGGCCGAGGTGGGTGGATCTTCTGAGGTCAGTAGTTCAAGACCAGCCTGGCCAACATGGTGAACCCCCATCTCTACTAAAAATACAAAAATTAGCCAGGAATGGTGGTGCACACCTGTAATCCCAGCTACTCAGGACCTGAGGCAGAATTGCTTGAACCCAGGAGGCAGAGGTTGCAGGGAGCCAAGATTTCGCACTGCACTCTAGCCTGGGCAACAGAGGAAAAAAAAATATATGCCTACATATAAAAGTTCAAGGAACATTTAGTTCACAGTCAAGAATCAGAATACATATGAGCAACAAGGTAAGTTTAGCAAGAGCAGAAACAACAGATAAAACAATAAGACCCATAACTTCAGGCTATGGGTTATATAACTATCTATATCTATATCTATATTTATATCTATATATTTGTTTGTTGCTTTAAGACAAGGTCTGCTCTGTTGCCCAGGCTAGAATGCAGTAGCATGATCATAGCTCACTGCAGCCTTGAACTCCTGGGTTCAAACTCCTGGGTGGTCAAGTATAAACCACCACATCCAGCCAATTTTTTTTTTTTTTTTTTTGTATAGACAGGGTCTCACTCTGTTGCCCAGGGTGGTCTTGAACTCAAACTATCCTCCTGCCTCCACTTCCCAAAGCACTGGGATTACAGGAGTGAGCACTGAACCCCATCAGGAATATCCATGTTTAAATGTGTTAAGAAATAAATAAGAAGCACTAACATTTGAGCAAAAAACAAGATACAAGAAAGAAACCAGCATAGTTGGGTATAGTGGCATGCACCTGTGGTCCCAGCTACTTGGGATGCTAAAGTGGAAGGATCACTTGAGCCCAGGAGGTCCAGGTTTCAGTGATTGTGCCACTGTACTCCAGCAGCCTGGGTGACAGAGCAAGACCCTGTCTCAAAAAGAAGGAATAAGGGAAGGAAGGAAGGGAGGGAGGGAGGGAGGGAGGGAATAAAGGAAGGAAACCAGAAGACAGGAGAAAATAAATGGAACTTCTGACAATGGGAAATGATATCGTTTCAATTTAAAAAACAGAAAGAAGGAAAGAAAGGAGGAAGGAAAAGAAAGGAAGGAAGAAGGGAGGGAGGTAAGGAAGGAAGGAAGGGAGGACGAAAGGAAGGAAGGAAAGAAGGAAGGGAGGGAGGGAGGGAACCAGCAGACAGGAGAAAATAAATAGAACTTCTGGAAATGATATAATGTAAATTAAAAACTCAGTGGATGGCCAGGAGAGGTGGCTCATGCTTGTAATCCCAGCACTCTGGGAGGCCGAGGTGGGCGAATTACCTGAGACCAGGAGTTTGAGACCAGCCTGAACAACATGGTGAAACCCCATATCTGCTAAAAATACAAAAATTATCCAGGCATGGTGGCGCGTGCCTGTAATCCTAGCTACTCAGGAGGCTGAGGCAGGAGAATCGCTTGAACCCAGGAGGCAGAGGTTGCAATGAGCTGAGATCGCGCCATTGCACTCCAGCCTGGGTGACAGAGTGAGACTCCATCTTAAATAAAAAATAAACAAATAAATAAATAAACAAAAACTCAGTGGATGGATGAAACAGATGAGAAGCAGCTAGATGGAAATGAGGGTGCTATTGGCTAGAGAGGAGGAGGGTTCATGCTTTTCCTTGTCCTCCTCCAGGTGGTGGCTGAGGCTCAGCCGGGAGAGGCCGGGGTCCAGCCTGAGGGCAGCTACCTCAGACAGGCCTTCACACTGCACATGGGCCTGGATCCACTCCAGCCGGTCGGAGTTCTCCTTCTCCCGCACCCCTTCGTTCACCTGGGAGCAGAGCTCTTCCGCCTTCTCCAGGGCGTGCTTCAAGTGGCTGTGGTCCGGGTGGTTTTCAGGGGTGTTCTCCAGGATCTACATAAGAAAACAAAAGCAACCACCTCCTTTCAGGCAATGTGGGTGGGCTTGTGATCTGGAGCCCTGCAGGACCAGCCCCAGTGGGGCAGGGCACCGTCCTTTCATGAACGGCGCCCATTTGAGCAACCACAGCTCTGAGCACCCACATGGCAATCACGTGGCAGATGACAGCCACTCCTTTTTGGCTCCAGTGGATGGTCCCAACCCTGAGGCCTCAGCCCAGCCGCACACCCTGAATGTCTAGGGCAAGCTGTGTGATCTGTCCTGCAAAATGCTAACATCATAGGGTGGACCCTGAACCACACACGCAGACTCACAGGATCGCAGCGTGTACCTATAACCATGGAGCCAGTGGGGGCTCTTAGAATTTCTTTTCGAAAACATTCACCCTGTTTCACAGAGGAATAAACTAGTTCCCGAGACCAGGAGCAGAGCTCTAGGTCTGCTCTAGGATAGCAGAGCCCAGCCATCCTAGCCCCAGTTCCATGCTGCTTTCCCACCTGTCCACTCACCTGGGGGAACTTAAAATGCAATTCTGGCATTTGATGTGCAGAATGTTCCATCAACCCACTGATGAGGGTCAGAGAGCCAACAGGTGCCCTTGGGGGGCAGGGCAGGACAGCGCAGCCTCTGCTTAGCATGCAGCCTGTGGCACAGGGGGAGTGGTGGGTGCAGCAAGGGTGAGAGCACCCGCACAGAGAATGGCTCTATTCCGGGTCCACACACCTCCGGAACGCACCTCCGATGCAGATGGGTGCATCAGAGCAAGAGTGCGATTTTCTGAGCAGACCATTCAAGGTGGGGTTGAGTGCCAGCTCTGGAGGTGGACCTCCTGAATTTAAATCCCTGCCCCACCACAGACCAGCCATGATTTGGGCTGGTCACATACATGTTCTTTGTGTTGTTGTTGTTTTCTGAGATGCACTTTTGATCTCATTGCCCAAGCTGGAGTGCAGTGGTACAGTCTCGGCTCACCGCAACCTCTACCTGGTGGGTTCAAGCAATTCCCCTGCCTCAGCCTCCCGAGTAGCAGGGATTACAGGCACCCACCACCACGCCCAGCTAAATTTTGCATTTTTAGTAGAGACAGGTTTCACCATGTTGACCAGGCTGGTCTCAAACTCCTGACCTCAGGTGATCCACGTGCCTCGGCCTCCCAAAGTGCTGGGATTACAGGCGTGAGCCACTGTACCCAGTCATAAATCTTCTTTTTGTCTTGCTCTGTCACCCAGGCAGGAGTGCAGTGGCACAATCTTAGCTCACAGCAATCTCTGCCTCCCAGGTTCAAGCAATCCTCCTGCCGCAGCTTCCTGAGTAGCTGGGACGTCTCTACTAAAAATACAAAAATTAGCCACCATGCCTGGCAGCTAACTTTAGTAGAGATGGGGGTTTTGCCATGTTGGCCAGGCTGATCCCAAACTCCTGGCCTCAAGTGATCTGCCTGCCTCAGCTTCCCGAAGTGCTGGGATTAGAGGCGTGAGCTACCACACCTGGCCCACATAAATGTTCTGAGTCTCAGGTTCCTCCCATGAGAACTGGGGAGGTTAATAGCCTCCTTTATAGGGTTGTGTGGAGGACTAAGTGACTTGATACACATGGATTCTTGGCAAAGCACCTGGCCCTTAGGAAGTGCTTAATAAGCAGGAGTGATGACCATCAGACCCGCAAAGGACTTGAAAACAGTCACCACCCTATGCTGGAGAATGCTGAGGACACATTTGCCCAGGCCTTGTCCACATACAAATAATGTAAATGGCCCAGACGCTGAATAATATCTCATCCCAAAGGCATACTGTGCTTTAAAGTCCTAAGCAGGTGCTCAAATGGAGAAAAATACAAACTGTTTTCTCTGTCTTGTATGTCCACAAATCAATTCCAAGCAACAACCCCAACCTCTGGGCCAATCCTGACTGTACCTTAGAATCCATTTGGAAAATCTGAAGCCTCTTCCATGACTAAATCAAAATCCCTGGGGGTGAAACTCAGGCTCAGGGTTTTTCTAGAGCTTTCCAGACATTCTAATAGGCAGCCAAGTCTGAGAATCACTACTCTAGGCTGGGAGCCCACCCAGCTGTCTTGAGTAAATCCGTTCGTTTTGTTTAGTTTCAAAACCCAAATGCGGTTATCAATTTTTCTAATTATAAAATATTGGACAATGTACGAAATTTCGAAAATTCAAAAAGTTATGAAGAGCCTAAAAACCACCCACAATCTCCCCATCTGAAGAGAAGCTCTGTCTAGGTGTTACTTAATATACTCTGCCTAGATGCATATGTACATACATACACAATTTTATAAAAATAAAAATTGCTTTGGGAGGCCAAGGTGGGGGGATCACCTGAGGTCAGGAGTTTGAGACCAACCTGGCCAACACGGTGAAACTCCGTCTCTACTAAAAACACACAGTTTAGTCAAACATGGTGGCACACACCTTTAGTCTCAGCTACTCAGGAGGCTGAGGCAGGAGAATCTCTTGAACCCAGGAGGTGAACACTGCAGTGAGTCAAGATTATGCCACTGCACTCCAGACTGGGTAGAGTGAGACTCTGTCTCACAAAAAATGAAAAAATAAAAATTGGATCATAGTACTATTTTGTACACTGTACTACTTCGTACACTGCTTTATAGTACAAAGTTCCATATCCATTCCATACATACTATCTTTTTTTTTTTTTTTTTTGAGATGGAGTTTCACTCTTGTTACCAGGCTGGAGTGCAATGGCGCGATCTCGGCTCACCACAACCTCCGCCTCCTAGGTTCAGGCAATTCTCCTGCCTCAGCCTCCCGAGTAGCTGGGATTACAGGTGTGCGCCACCATGCCCAGCTAATTTTTTGTATTTTTAGTAGTGACGGGGTTTCATCATGTTGACCAGGATGGTCTCGATCTCTCGACCTCGTGACCCACCCACCTTGGCCTCCCAAAGTGCTGGGACATACTATCATTTTTTAGGGTTTTATAACATATCATTATTGGGGCAGATCCTGGTAACGGGCACCTCATTGGACACAATGCATTTAAATAGTTCCCTTACCATAAAATATTATGTTGTTTCCAACTTTTCAATATTTCTCAAATTAATTCCTTAGAATAAATTCCTAGAGATGGAATTGCTGAGCCAAAGAGAAATTATAGTTGGATCTATACATTGCCTTCCAGAAAAAGGCTGTATCAATTTAACTTCCGTCCAGATCCTTGCCAACACTGGGGAACTACAATCTTCAACATACAGCCATCTGGCAAGATGCATCAAAGTATCAATATATGCCCATTTGGCAAATCAAAGTATTTTCTTCTTTTGTTATGTATTTTTGTTTATTGCCTGTGAGTCTGAACTTTTTATACATTTAGTACATAAGTGTTCTCAATGATAAAGTTAACATTTATAAACTGTCTAGTATAAGCCACTTTGCATATGTGAACTCAGCTAATTCTCACATCACTATGCAGTAGGTACCACCAGTAACCCTATTTTACAGACTAGAAACTGAGGCCCAGGTTATGGAACTCATCGCACACAGCAGTAAATACCAAGATTCAAATCCAGCCAGCCCAGCTCCAGGCTATGCGCACTTCACTGCTATTCTGCACTGCCTCTCAGCAACTTCCATATTCTCTCCATCACCCAGGCTGGAGTGCAGTGGCTCAATCATAGCTCAATCATAGCTCACAGCAGTCTGACCTTCCAGACTCAAGTGATTCTCCCACCTCAACCTCCTGACACATGCCACCAAGCCTGGCTAATTTATTTTTATTTTTATTTGTTGTAGAGATGGGGTTTCATCATGTTGCCCAGGCTGGTCTTCAACTCTTGGGCTCACGCAGTGCTTCTGCCTCAGCCTCCCAAAGTGCCGGGATTACAGACGTGAGCCGTCGTGCCTGGCCTTTGCCTGTTTTTCTATTAGAGTATTTGTGGTTGTTGTAAGGGTGCTTGATATAGCTACAGATATCTATTTATATTTTAGTACCTAGGCATGTACAGTTAGAAATGTTTACCCAGTTTATGCCTGTCATTTGTCTTTTTCTTTTCTTTCTGTCACCGAGGTTGGAGTGCAGTGGCATGATCACAGCTCACTGCAGCCCCAAACTCCTGGGCTCAAGGATCTTCCTGCCTCAGCCTCAGGAGTAGCTAGGACCACATATACATCCCACCATGCCTGGCTGAGTTTTTAATAAATGTTGTAGGGATGAGGGGGTCTCACTATGTTTCCCAGGCTAGTCTTGCACGCCTGGCCTCAAGCGATCCTCCCACACTTTGGCCTCCCAAAGTGCTGGGATTAGAGGCATGTGTTATCATACCCAGCTTGTCATTTGTCTTTAAACTTTGCTCATTATATTTTGTTGTGAGAAATTTTTAAGAAAAATTTTTATGCAAATAACATATTAACATATTCTTGGTATGCAAGATTCAATCACTACAGAAATATGTACAGCAAATGTAAAAATTTCCTTCATTTCCCTACCCCTGAGGTAACCACTGCCAACAGACTGAAGGGCATTCCTTTAGATGCTCTTTATATACTTAATAGTCGCATGTAAAGTTTTTCCCCTCTTTTTGCAAAATGCATCATACTTTAGAATTGTTTAGTGAGTTTACTGTTGCTTTTTTCAAATAACAGCATTTTCTCAGTGTCTTTCCATGCTAATACGTACAGTAGAAGTTGCCCTGTACCTTTTTAAATATTTTCATAGTACAGATCTACCATATTTATTTAACTATTCCCATTAATGAACATCTAGGTTGTTCCCAGAATAAAAGTTAGGGTTTTTTTTTTTTTTTTTGGAGACAGAGTCCTACTCTGTTACCCAGGCTGGAGTGCTGGAGTGTGATCTCAGCTCATTGCAACCTCTCCTTCCTAGGTTCAAGATACTTTCCTGCCTCAGCCTCCCGAGTAGCTGGGATTACAGGTATGCACCATGTAAGGAACGTGGCTGTGCTGCAGCCAGGCAGACATAGCCTGAAGTAAACATCCGGCATGACTCAGCGGGATTAGAGTGCAAGTGCACAGTTCCATGCATCATATAATCACAGCTTTGTAGCCATAACATGGGAGGCTCATCACCTGGCTCCAAGCCACTATTATGTGTGAGGCGTATGAAGGCAACACTGACACTGTGAAACAGCTGCTGAATCGAGCCATGTCCCATCTACCTGCTGTCTCTCGAGTGTTCTTCCAGCTCCCTGCCCTATGTCCACACATTCCCGTTGGACCTCAGCTGGGGCTCGATCCTGACACGCCATTACTCCCAGCTAATTTTTTCCATGTTTTTAGTACAGACAGGGTCTCAACATGTTGGCCAGGCTGGTCTTGAACGCCTGACCTCAAGTGATCCACCTGTCTCAGTCTCCCAAAGTGCTGGGATTACAGGTGTGAGCCACCACACTCAGTCGAAAGTTTGGGTATTTTTTAGGTTTCTGTGATCTAAATCCTTTAAGTTTCTGTCTTTGAGACCATGCTAAGAATTTTTCCACATCAGTATCATAAAAATATTTAGTCTTAGTACTTTGGTGGATTTCATATATATCTCATAGAGACCACTGTTCAATTCTCTTCTTAGTTCAGCTGGTTTTCAGTTCATTCTTCTGGGTGCTCTGGAAGTAATCAATAGCGCTTCTGCAAATAATGATAGTTCTTTTTTTTCCCCCTTTTTATTTTTTTTATTTTTATTTTTTGAGACCAAGTCTCGCTCTGTCACCAGGCGCCAGGCTGGAGTGCAGTGGCTCAATCTTGGCTGACTGCAACTTCCACCTCCCAGGTTCAAGTAATTCTCCTGCCTCAGCCTCCCAAGTAGCTGGGACTACAGGCACGCACCACCATGCCCACTTATTTTTGGATTTTTTTTTTTTTGAGACAGAGTTTTGCTGTTGTTGCCCAGGCTGGAGTGCAATGGCACGATCTCGCTCACCGCAACCTCCGCCTCCTGGGTTCAGGCAATTCTCCTGCCTCAGCCTCCTGAGAAGCCGGGACTACAGATGTGCACCACCATGCCCAGCTAATTTTTGTATTTTTAGTAGAGACGGGGTTTCACCTTGTTGACCAGGAGGGTCTCGATCTCTTGACCTCGTGATCCACCCACCTCAGCCTCCCAAAGTGCTGGGATTATAGGTGTGAGCCACCGCTCCCGGTCAATTTTTGTATTTTTTTAGTAGAGACAGGGTTTCACAATGTTGGCCAGGATGGTCTCGATCTCTTGACCACATGTCCACCCACCTTGACCTCCCAAAGTGCTGGGATTACAGGCGTGAGCCACCGCGCCCAGCCTCCCCTTTTTATATTTGTGCTGTTCAATCCTTTTCTTGTTTTAGTTTTTCTCCCATTGGCTAGATCTAGAACACCTATTTTAAAAAGCTTGTTTTCTGCTTCCATTTGCAATTAAACATTGGGAGAAAAAAGAGAAGTCCCGAGTTAATTAAATAGTAACTGTGGAAGAGAGAAAACAGCAGGTTGAAAGCCTATTTCAGAACTCATTATTTAATTCAGCCAAAGATCCACAGTGTATTTTGTGGAGTTGAGCTGGGGCTGGAAAGAGGAGCTGGCTTATGTGGGAGGGAGATTTGTCACATGTAATAAGATGGAGACAATAAGGAAACACAATGAGGATACTGAGAGCCAGGCTCCTCACAGAGTAGGGAGTTACAAATGCAGAAAGGGGAAGGCTGGATTCGATTCTGCAGTACTAGATTAGAATAGGAGGTATTGGTGTGAATTAATGAGTTCTAATATACATGGATAGATGGATCTAGAAATAAATATAAATATATGTATATATACATTGGCATATGTAAATATGTGTGCATGAAAAGACATTCATATATTTCTCAGCTCTGCCACTGAGAGGAGCACAAAGCAAAAACACCCCAGCAGCAATGAGCACACCAGTGCCCACATCTGAGTTTCTAAATACCATTCTCTATTAAAAGGAACCAGATCTAAAACCTCTTTCCAGGAGCTACGCTCCCTGTGGTTTTAGGAGCATAGGCTCAGAGGACATCTAAGTCTGTTCACTTGTTTTACAGGTGGAGACACTGAAACACTAATTTGGTTCTTTTTTTTTTCTTTTGGTATTGGCTTTCCCAAAGTGACAGGAGAACAGTCATCTAATATCAACACAGTGTCTGATATGGTTTATCTGTGTCTCTACCCAAATCTCATCTTGAATTGTAGTTCCCATAATTCCCACATGTTGTGGGAGAGACCAGGTGGAGATAATTGAATCATTGGAGTGGTTTCCCCCATCCTGTTATTGTGATAGTGAATGAGTTTTCACAATATCCTCTGGTTTTATAAGGGGTTTCCCCCTTAGCTGGGCTCCCATTCTTCTCCTTCCTGCCATCATGTGAAGAAGGATGTGTTTGCTTCCCCTTCCATCATGATTGTAAGTTTCCTTACTAATTACTAATTAAACCTCTTTCCTTATTAATTACCCAGTCTTGGGCAGTCCTTTCTAGCAGTGTGAGAATGGACTCATAGTGTCTCACAATGGCCTTCTGAAGACAGGTTGTGGGCATTATGTTTCTTTCTCTTTCCTGCTAAGAAAATCAAGGCCTAGAGGCACTGGGCCCGTCTTTGAGAAGGAATTGGCCAGGTGTGGTGGCTCACATCTGTAATTCTATAATCCCAGTACTTTGAGAGGCTGAGGCGGGCAGATCACCTGAGGTTAGGAGTTTGAGACCAGCTCGACCAACATGGAGAAACCCTGTCTCTACTAAAAATATAAAATTAGCCGGGTGTGGTGGTGCATGCCTGTAGTCCCAACCCTTTGGGAGACTAAGGCAGGAGAATGGCTTGAACCTGGGAGGTGGAGGTTGCAGTGAGCCAAGATCATGCCATTGCACTCCAGCCTGAGCGACAAGAGCAAAATCTCATCTTAAAAAGAAAGAAAGAAAGAAAGAAAGAATCCAGGGAGAAAGGCACAGACCACAGACTGTTTCTGTGATTCCATGTTATTTTCTTTTAGAAAAAAATCAAAATTAAAAAATTAAGGACTAAGGGCTCATTTCCTGACTTACAAGGTAGAAGTCACTTGGTCCTTGGCCACACACCTGAAGACTGTGCAGTATTAGCTCTCATGGGTTTTTTTGTTTTGTTCTTACTTTTTGAGACAGAGTCTTGCTCTGTCACCCAGGCTGGAGTGCAGTGAAACAATCTCGGCTCACTGCAATCTCTGCCTCCTGGGTTCAAGAGATTCTCCTGCCTCAGCCTCCTGCATAACTGGGACTACAGGCACGTGCCACCATGCCCAGCTAATTTTTTGTATTTTTAATAGAGACGGGGTTTCACTGTGTGAGCCAGAATGGTCTCGATCTCCTGACCTCGTGATCCACTCATCTCGGCCTCCCAAAGTGCTGTTTTTTGTTTGTTTGTTTTTAGAGAGAGACAGGGTCTCGTTATGCTGCCCAGGCTGAGCTTAAACTCCTGGGCTCAAGCAATCGGCCCACCTTGGCCTCCCGAGTGCTGGGATGACAGGCATGAGCCACCGCACCTGGCCAGTTCTTTGTGTGGTAAACCAGCTTTTCTTTCTGAGTTACCAGGCAGACCTCTGATGACACCTTGTTGTCTTCTGCTTTCTACACGACAGCTACCAGGTATGTGCGCTGGGAAACTTGTCCATGGCCCACCCCCTCCAATGTAGAGAAAGCAGTCCCCTGCTTGAAAAGGCAAGATGGGTACTTACATTTTTAATGATCAGTGGGTATCTTGTTACCCGTTGCATAGGCTTCAGTATAAAACTAGAGAGTGGCATCCCTTTACACCGAGGGTCCATTGCCAGTCTCTGAAATAAGAAATGTTTTTAAATGCACTTAAGAAATTTGCAAAATCCAAAGTTAGTGACATCAATGCTAACGCCAGTGAGGACTCCCCACCCGTTCTCTCATTTATCTGGACGACAACTGAGAGACCTGGGGTTGGAAGGGCCCGACTAGTTACCCTGTCCAGGATGACACACTTTCCAGATGGAGAATGGAGCTCCATTCTCCAGATGTGACTCAGCCAGCAGGGTGAGGCCCTGCACTCCGGACCCAGCATACCTTCCCAGGATGCGTGGTTCCTTACGCACAGAGATGAGATTGTGGCTTTACAGAAAATATTTCATCTGGATGTCTGCAAAAACTTTATAACATTCCCAGGAACAAGAGTCACGAGACTGTACAATTAGAGGAAAAATTCTCCTTACATCCTAGAGCTGCTGGAAGGGCTGAATCTCATTGTCTATTTTCGGGTGGAGCCTCTGGGAGTCCCAGGTAGGGCTGAGAGAGAGAAGCTGAGACATCAGGGGTCAAGACTCCAGTCTCAGGGTCCAGTGACTTTGCTGTCAAAGACTGTGGTCCAGTTTAATGCCTTAGAAACGGGCAGCTGCATTGACTGGAGCCCTGAGACCTGCTAACTGTCAGCACCAGGACCTGCTCCAGCTGTGGACACCATCATCCCAGGAACACCGCACAGCTGGCAATGACGCGCCACATTCCTGCTGGGATGAGGTGGGGAGAGATGAAGAGGAGAGGGGCGGGGAGGGATGAGGAGGCCCCTGCCCTGGGCTGGTGTCATCACTTCCCTGAAGTTCAAGCGCATCCAACAATGAACGCATCTTGCCTGGGCCCAGGAAGAGCCCAGCCCTTAGCTGAAACCCCCGGCGGTCCATGGCACCCAGCAGCCCAGCATCTGCTCTCCCATCTCCATCCACCCAAGGCCTCCTTCTTAGCAATCTTTCTCCCCTTGGAATGGCCTCAGGGTGCCCAGTGCCTTGGCTGGCAAGTCTAGGCATTTGATGCTGAGAAACACCACGAGGGGCAGAAACAACACGCCCACGTGAGGCCCTGACCAAGAAGGAGCCACACTTGTACCTCACCACAGTGATTCCATAAGCACCACTCTAGGGCAGGTGATTGTGGCCTGTCCCCAAAATGCATGAGATCCAAAGATATGCCTGTTGTTATTATTTTGCTGCTTACTCATCAAAAGGCACCTGTTTCATAGAAGGGATTTTATGCTCTTCCTACTTTTCTTCTCCAGGAGAGATGGGGGCTGTTTGAATGGCCCAGCATGGCCAGCAGAGATCCACCCTGGCCAAGGCCAAGTCCCAGAGCTGCAGGTCTTCCAGGAGCATCCGTGTTACCTCCCCAAACATCCCTTGGTGGACACCCTACTCTCCAGAAGCCTGCTACCCCCAAGGAAGAGGTCCTGACATCCCACACTGACTTTCACGGGCTGCCTAGGGCTGGAGCCCATCAAGCAGAACCAACTGGGAAAGGAATGAAGGGGCCCCCGGGAATCCTGGCCATTCCCTCGGCACGTGAAGGGCAGAGACTGGCAAAGAACTGAAGATGTGGCGATTAAACACAAGAGGAAATCTGAGACCTGCCTGGGTCTTGCAAATGAAATGAGATTTAAACATGCATCCAAATAACACCACTAGCATCTGGAAAACAGATCCCTTGAAGACACTTCAAAGGTTCCGAGCCCAGGACTAGCCCCTCCTTCCAAGCCCACCCCATTGGTGACAGCCACACTTGCCAGGGAGTGCCAGTCCCCTAGGGCTCAGGCAAGACCCCAGACCCTGTTGGCCTCGAGCGGGAACGCGCTTGCAGACTTGTGAACTAGCCCCTTGCACGTCCAGCAGCCCAGTGATCGTCACTCTGGGGCCCAGTCTCTGCACAGCCTGGACCCTTACTTTGACAAACTCCTTGAAGTCTGGGGCCTCGTCTGTCTTCTGCTGGATCAGGGCAGCCCCGTTGAGCTGGCGGCTGCAGAAGCGGATGTAGGGCTGCATGTGCGGCAGCTGGGCGCTCAGGATGTCACCAATCATCTTCACGGGCATCTTCTCCCCGGACATCTTCTTGCGGACTCTCAGCGCTCTGCACGGAAACACGGGAGGTGAGCCCCCTGCCCTCACACTGCCTGACAGCACCACGGCACCCTTCTAGGTTGCACAGAAACAGAATGTGTGTGAGGGGCACAGACTCAAGGGCTGCTGAAGGATCTATGTGGGAGACAAGGAATGGAGAAAGAAACGAGTCTAGGGCTACAGAGAGGTAGCACCAGGGCATTTTTCTCTGGCAGAGTGGCTGTTTGCTACAATTTTTGTTTTCTTGTGTAGAAATATGGAGTTTTTTCTTTAACAACCCAGACGGGTCCCCTGTGTCAATGTCTCACTATGCAGATTATTGGTGGTGAAAGCCCCTGGCTGATGTGGCCTGAGCACCCCCCCCATTTCCAGGAGGCACTTCTGCCCAACAGAAGTTGCTACTGCCAGAGCTTGGGAAGGCGGTTTTGGGCAAAAAACATAATGAAGATGGCAAGACAACCGCCTTGGCAACATAATCCCACTAGATTCGGCAAAAGCCAGGCATAAATGACCGTTTGAACTATTTCTGTCATTTGCTGCTTCATTGCTGGAGCTAAGTTAACTGAATTAAGAGGAGTTCAGAAAAGAGGTCTATTACTATGATAATGGGCCAATGAACCAAAAAAAAAAAAAAAAGTATATCCTGGAATGCAGGAGAGGTGATGATAGGACTGGGAAGTGTTTGTTCTGGGGTCTGCCTGCAGCGTGAGTGCTCAGAGCTATGGTAACTAGGACTGTGCTTCCACTCTTCTGACTTCAACCCTTAACACCAGCATCTGGAAGAGGGGCATGGTACTGAGCTTATACACGGTAAGGACAGCAATGTACTACATGGCAGGACCACAACACGAGGCCATGAGTGTGTTCGGCTCTCCTCATTATGATCATGGTGGATGGAACAAAATGGTATGTCCTATGGGTTTAACACGGCTGGGAGGCTGTGCCTCCATGGTCATGCTGGAGAAGCCGTTGAGGTATGGGGCATGCTATCGAATTCCAAGGAAGCTCTGCAATATTTATATTAGGCTTCAAAAACTTCAGCTCACTTTCTTTTCTTTCTCCCACATTTGTGGCTACAATAAAATCCCTTGGACTGGCGAGCCAGGGAGAGAAACTTAGGGACCATAAATGACGTGGTGCGAGCAGTCAGCAATTCCACCTAAGTGGATTCCCTAACCGGCAGATCAGCACCGGCTGCCTGGGATGTGGGGAGCGGTGGCAGCTTGGTGTCCTCAGAATGGCCCAAGAGCTACTGTCCCATTGAGGGATTGGTGTGAAATACCCCAGTGGTGCAGAAATGTGCTCAAGGGTGATGTCGACAGGAATTTGAGGGGATGAGAACCCTGAATAGCCATGTTATAAACTTGCCATGAATGCAAACAGGTAGAAATTCCATCAGTCCATCATTTTCCTATGAGGAGTAGTTTTTTTTTTTTAACAAGGGACTAAAATATACTTTCACCCTTTCCTTCTCCTGTTTTGTTTTGTTTAGTTTTGTTTGAGATGAAGTCTTACTCTGTGGCCCAAGCTGCAGTGCAATCCCAGCTCACTGCAACCTCTGCCTCAACCTCCCGAGTGACTGGAACTGCAGGCACCTGTCACCACTCCCTGCTAATTTTTGTATTTTTAGTAGAGACGAGGTTTTGCCATGTTGGCCAGCCTGGTCTCAAACTCCTGATCTCAAGTGATCCACCTGCCTTGGCCTCCTGAAGTGCTGAGATTACATGCGTGAGCCACCGTCCTGGCCTGCGTTTTCTTAAAGGATGAGGGAGACAAGAAAAAAGGAAAAGAAGAAAGATCGTCTACAGACAGTGATTGTCTTGAGGAATTAATTCCCAGGTTCTTCAGACCCACCCTTGTAGACTGGAGTTACCCAACCAGCAGACGGGCCTAAAATTAAGGCCTGATTTACTATGGACAAGGCGCCTATTAGGTTCAGCTGTGGGTCTTCAGCCAGGATGATCTACTAAACAGGCAAAGACTTATGAGGACTGGAGGGTGTTACAGGCCCAGGGGTCATGTGACTCAGCCGCTGCAGCCACCCCCTGAGAGTACTCTGCCCTGCGATGAGCTGATCTGCATTCTCCTAGAAAGACTTATAGATGAGAGGCCTTGAACTGACTGCAAAAGGCAATCAACTGGCTAACGAACGTTTCAAAGAGCACTCCGTGTTTGCCGAACACGAGTGTCCCTAACCCTCTGAAGTCTGCAGACCAAGTGGACAGTCATGGAGCTAGCATGTATGAATGCTTCCTATGTGTCAAACACAGCTTTACATATATTATTATCATCCCCATTTCCTGTAGGGGAAACTGAGGCACACAGAAATTGAATGACTTGACCAAAGTCACCGAGCTAATAGGTGGCAGAGGTAACCCAGGAACCCAGGTCTGACTCCAGAGCCCACGGTTGGGACCACAGCCTCAGAGGCCCCAACCCACCTCCTGCCATGACTGCCCCCCATCTTCCCAGATTCAGCTGCCCTGCTCCTCCCATCTCACCCAGGCCTTTCCCTGCTGGTCCCAGCCTCAGCCTCTGTACTTCCCACCCCACTGGACTTCCCACCTCTGCACCATGCCCTCTCTCCTTCCATCTTCTCATTCTCCCAGCCCCATGTCCTTTTCTTCTTTCTCACCGTCTGTCTTTACCACCCAAAACTGATGTTTGTTTTTATTTTTCCTTCATTTTCTGCTTAAACAAGATCAAATGAAATCCATTCTTCTTTAGTTAAAAAGATGTGTCAACTATGTTAGATACAGTGAACTCCAAGTTTCTCTTCAAAGAGTCAGTGTGTCAGTGTGTTCAGCTCTCTTATTCCTCAATTCTCTATTTGAAAGTTTAACTTCCTTGTAGTTATAGTAAACAACCTTCTCCACCAGTTCTAATCAGCAGTTCACATCTATTCCCCTGGCCCCCACTCTGTCCTGACTCATCCCCATCACCTGCTCCAGTCACCTGCTCCGGTCACCTTCTTTGACCTAGGTGACCCCTGGCTACCTGCTCTGACCCATTCATAACTGCCCTTCCTGCCAAAACCACCCACCCTGCCACTCCAGCTGGGACCCCTGCTCTCTTTAAAATAGCCAATTGGGATTAGTCTAGCTTGTGCAGTCTAACCCTAGCCAATAGGGGAACAGCACAGCAGTAGGGATGACCCCCATCAGGCATAAGTACCCCTTTTCCTCCCTTGTCCAAGTGTGCGGTCCTCCATTGCTCCACCCATAGCCACACCCTTCTATTGCAGTAAACTGCCTTGCTGAAAGGATTTACCTTTGAGTGCTATTTCTTTTGTGGCATTGAAATTTTACTTATAACAAATATTTAAGAAAACCACTTTTTTGGGACAGGCTCTTTTTTATTTTTCCAGCAAGGGGACAGGAAAGGCTCTTGATAAAGAAAAAGTTCACCAAACCTGGGTTGGCCACTCACCTCATTTTTTGCTTCCCTTTCTGCTTCCCTTCTGCTATCATTTCTTTCTTTTTTTTTTTTTTTTTTTTTTTTTTTTTGGTGACACAGTCTTGCTTTGTTGCCCAAGCTGGAGTGCAGTGGTGAGATCTTGGCTCACTGCAGCCTCTGTCTCCTGGGTTCAAGCAACTCTCCTGCCTCAGATTCCTGAGTAGTTTGTATTACAGGCATGCACCATCATGCCCAGCTAATTTTTTTTTTTGAGACGGAGTCTTCTCTGTCACCCAGGCTAGCGTGCAGTGGTGCCATTTCAGCTCACTGCAACCTCCACCTCCTGGGTTCAAGTGATTCTCCTGCCTCAGCCTCCCAAGTAGTTGGGTCTACAGGTACGTGCCACCATGCCCAGCTAATTTTTTGTATTTTTAGTAGAGATGGGGTTTCACCATGTTAGCTAGGATGGTCTCAATCTCCTGACCTTATGATCTGCCCACGTTGGCCTCCCAAAGTGCTGGGATTACAGGCATGAGCCACCATACGTGGCCCTTTTTTTGTTTGTTTGTATTTTTAGTAGAGATGAGGTTTTGCCATGTTAACCAAGCTGGTCTCCAACTCCTGACCTCATGTGATCCGTCTGTTTCAGCCTCCCAAAGTACTGGGATTACAAGCTAATCCACCGTGCCTGGCCCTTCTGCCCCTGAGGGGCCTGCTCCAGGCTCGGGATATAAAAAGGTTCTAGATCTTTCTATATGATCTTCCTTGTCTATGAAAGGCACATTTCTCAGCTCTCAGCTTCCTCGTAAGAGAGGCAGCCATTTGCTCTAACCCTCAGTGAGGCATCATTAGTAGGAAGTCCATGGGTCCCAGTTAGCCCTTTTTATTTCCATTTTATTTGTTTATGGTTGATTTGCATGATAACTGCCATGGCCCCTGCCACACCCCAAACACAAGAGGTACAGGATCAGGAGTAGCAGGCATGTGGCTGCCCGGTGATGACATTCCAGGGCTTGCTGCCTTAATTTCACCTTATCCTCAAACGCCTCCCTCTCTTGGCTGCCAGGACCCTCTAGCTCCCCTCACCATGGTCATTCCTTGGCATGAAGAAACTATGTCTAAGCGGCCGCACAAATACAGCACAAGGTCAGTGACCAGTTTGCCATGTGGGTGTTTACAATTCTTTCACATTTTCTGTATGTTTGAGATTTTTTTTCTAGTGAAATGTAGAAAGGAAGAAAAAGAAATCAGGTCCACAGAAGGCTCCGGTTAAATACAAGATTTTATCCGGAGGATGAAGACATGAGCCAGTGAGTCCAAACTAGCTAATCCAGGAATAAGAGGAATGGGGTAGAGAAGAGGGACCTTGGGGTGAAAAGGTCCCAGCCGCTCTTGTGCACATCAGCGCCCTGATCGGCAGTGTGCCCCTGGGACACCTGATCTCTTGCTCTCAGAATAACCCTGCACGGTAGGCGGGACAGGCACTGTAACTGCCATCTTAATACCCAATTAAGATTGTGCTTTCAGTAGAGATGGGGTTTCAGGCTGGTCTTGAACTCCCAACCTCAGGTGATCTGCTCGCCTTGACCTCCCAAAGTGCTGGGATTACAGGCATGGGCCACTGTAATCTCCATTCTGGGACCTAGGCATCATCCATAGAGCAGCCACCCTCCTGTGTGACTTCAGGGAAATCACTCAGCCTCTCTGAGCTTCAGTGCTTCAGCCGTCACAGAGCTGTCCCTCCCACCTCCGAGACAGTGGAGCAAGTCAGAGCTGACAGGAAAAAGCAGCACACAGGCCCAGCCCCGGCATAGCTCAAGAAAGGGGCTGCTGCTTCCCTGACAAGGGTTGAAAGACAACAGAAAGGGACAGGGAGCTAAGGCCAGCACCAGTCTCCCTCAGGCCAACTCTGGAGTGGGGGAAGCCCTCTCTTAGGGGGACTTGGGAACCTCAGACACATCTCCCTCCTCCCCCAACCCTCATGGATAGCTGCCAAGTAAAAAGGTTTGAATTTACAGGCATATTTTCTTTTCTTTTTCTGAGACAGGGTTTCACTCCGGTGGCCCAAGCTGGAGTCCAGTGGTGCGATCTCAGCTACAACCCCCGCCTCCAAGGTTCAAGAGATTCTCCTGCCTCAGCCTCCCTAGTAGCTGGGACTACAGGTGCAAACCACTACACCCGGCTGATTTTTGTATTTTCAATAGAGACTGGGTTTCACCATGTTGCCCAGGTAGGTCTCAAACTCCTGGCCTCAAGTGATTCTCCCGCCTCGGCCTCCCAAAGCACGGGGATTACAGGCGTGAGCCACCACACCCAGCTATCATCCATGTAGACGAGAACACTGAGGCCCAGGGATCAAAGGGACCTGCCTGATGACACACAGCCAGAGTCAATAGTGGATGTGAGCCCAAGGGTCTGACGCCAGACCTAATTTGGAAAGGCTTCCACAGCACCAGGAGGCCAGTGGAGTCCAGACCTTCTCTAAAAGCCTGCCTCGGGTCACCTTGGATTATTCGTCTTCTAGAGCACCAAGCCAGCAGACATTATGTCTCTTTCTTCATGTCCACCTCTCCACACCCCCTCTCACTAACCCTTCATCCACTCCCGAACACATGCTCAAGAAAGTAGGGACCTGAAATTATATGCAGAGACCACATTTAGGAAATGGTAGCTTCCCAACGACATGGATGAAGATCAGGAATGGATGCAAGGTTCTGGGAGGCTGCCCTCCATCCTCAGGCCCAGGAAGTGGGTGGCCCTTCCTCCCAGCAGGGAGTATCTCATGCCCTGGAGGCTGGGGCTTCATCTGTGTTCTAGCAAGTGATGTTACGATGACAGCCTGATGGATTCTGATTTTGGTTTTTGACCTTTTTTTTTTTCTTTAGACTAAGTCTTGCTCTGTCATCCAGGCTGGAGTGCAGTGGTATGATCTCGGCTCACTGCAACCTCCGCCTCCCAAGTTCAAGCAATTCTCCCATCTCAGCCTCCTGCATAGCTGGGATGACAGAAGCCCACCACCACACCTGGCTAATTTTTGTATTTTTAGTAGAGATGGGGTTTCACCATGTTGGTCAGGCTGGTCTCGAACTCCTGACCTCGTGATCTGCCTGCCTCAGCCTCCCAAAGTGCTGGGATTACAGGTCTAAGCCACTGCACCCGGCCCGGCCCCCAATTCTTTTTTTAAGAATTGGAAGAGACCTTTGTGATGATCAAATCCAACCCCTTCATTTTACAGATGGGAAATCTAAGGCTCAAAAAGGAAAGGCAGTAAGTCAGACTCCAAACCCAAGTCTCTTGACTCCTGGCCCTCCAGCTGCCTCTGCAAACTGAAGTTGGAAGAAAATACAAATAGTCCCGGGCCCGCTTCCCGGAGTGATCCTGAGAAACTGCTGACTTTAGGCAGGGAACAGTTCCACGCTTTTCCATCTGCAGGGCCAAGAATGCCTCAAAAGTCCAATATTCCCCCACGGGATCCCGTGTCCCGGGGAAGCCGTGGAGAAGACTGCCCCATGCCCCAGGACGGAGCCAGCACCACCAGGAGCCAGCCTCAGCCTAGCCCTGGGCATTCGTCACCACAGTAATTCACCCCACGGCAGGCTCTGGGGTGCCTGGGTGACCTACTCTTGCAATGAGAGATTCGGGGCGCGTTTCCAGAAAGCATGAAGGCACAAAAGGGCGATGGTGCTTGTGAGTGGCAACGAGCAGAAAGAAACACAGGGTGGCATGCAGGAAGGACACACAGACCCACAGAGGTGCTAGTGCGTGACAGCCGAGGAGGCCAAGCCAGGCTGGGGATTAGAGGAGAGGCTTACTTCAGTAGTTTGATATTACACATAATCAGCTCCTTCCAGTTCACAAAAATCATAGCAACCTCTTTTTCTGTCAGCAGCTCAGACTCCATCAGGGGTTTTTGAAAGATCTACAGATGCAGAAAACGAAGCAGTTCAGAAAGCAGTTAGTTTGAAACTCACACGCGCACACACCCATCCGCGGAGAGCAGGAGAGGGCTCAGGTGTCTGCGCCTCAGCTGAGAGGCGGTGAGGTGACCACCCACTTTCCTGCAGTTTCTGAAGCAGGTGGCCCCTCCTCTGATCCGGGGGCTGGAGGGCGGTCCCCAGCAGGGCCTGCATTGTTTTACAGGGGAAGGAGGCCAGCTGAAGTCTCCAGGGGACAGGTCCCAACTCCACCAGACAAGTAGGGAGACCAGTACCAATTCATGCTCGCAGGCAAGGTGGTCTCACTGCCCACTGGGAGGAGATGGCCCCGTGAGAAAAGCGGGTCTTAAAGATGCCGGTGGCTGTGGGCACTCCCTTCATCTGCACAGGTAAACCTGGGCATTCCGAGAGGAGCAGCCCAGGTGGCGGGCCCTCTAATAAGTCCGTGGTCACCTCGGTGACTGACTCCATTGCCGTGTCCTCAGCCTCCTGGGCTGACCCTGGACAGAGCCAGCACTTGTGGGCCCACTATAAAGGGGGAGGTGCTGCCCTTCTCCTGGGGTCTATAAAATAAATGAGCCCCTCCCAAGCTCTGTGTGGTTGGGCAACTGGCAGTAAATCACAGATCTCAGTGGAACCGCGTGTGGTAGAGCCCCCACCTGCAAGGAGGTCATTTTCTCCCACGGGAGGCAGGAGGCGCTTCTGAAGGCTCTTTAGGGTTGGGGACAGCCCATCTTCAACAGAAACTTGGCTGGGTGGCGGCTGGTCCCTGGGAGCCCTATTCCACAGGAGTCCATGAGCTGACGTTGAACCCAGCATCCACCACATACAGTGGTGCGTTCTGTGCACTGCACAAAGGGGCCATGTCTAAGGGGGGCCACTTGCATCCTGGACATCCTGAACTATATATTTAATAACAGTCAAATGCCTTGAGAAAAGGGCACCTTTTGAATTCATGCCAATGCTTCCTAACTGTTAACGGTGGTCTTATGTACTCCTCCGACGGCGGCGAGCCCCGCTGTGTCTCTCCCGGATGTCAAGACTATCAGACAAGATGGTTTCAAAACCACTTGGCGTTGTGCTGGTGGGCGTTTTCATACTATCACAGTGCCTCTACGCTGCAGGCCTGTCACCACAAATCCCTGTCTCCTAATACGGCAGCTTCCCACAGATGGGACACAAAGGCCTGCTGAGAAGCAGGAGTGTGACCAGCCCTGCATCTCCCTGTAGTTCCGTCTGTTTGTTTGTTTTTGAGACAGAGTCTCACTCTGTCGCCCAGGCTAGAGTGCAGTGGCCCAACCTCAGCTCACACACCCTCTGCCTCCCGGGTTCAAGAGATTCTCTTGCCTCAGCCTCCTGAGTAGCTAGGATTACAGGCACATCTATCATGCCTGGCTAATTTTTGTATTTTTAGTAGACACGGGGTTTCACCATGTTGGTCAGGCTGGTCTCAAACTCCTGACCTTGTGATCCGCCCGCCTTGGCCTCCCAAAATGCTGGGATTACAGGCGTGAGCCACCGCACCCGGCCCTCCCCATAGTTCTGGAAGAGGTGGCCAGGGCCCTTTTGGGAAGACAGATAAGATGAGGCATCACCTCAGGTTGGGGGTTTTGTGGGGGTCTGGGAGGAAACGTTGTCATTCTCCGTGACAGATTTGTCTCGGGATAATATGTGGCAGGAATGACTTGAGACAGCAGCCAGATGGCTGCCATTTTCAGATGCCAACACTGTGGGCTGGGGGAGGTGTGGCAGGCTCCATGGCACCCCCTCCTTGGTAGCTGAGCTTCGACTGCTCTGAGTAGAGCGTGGACTCCAGACTGTCAGTCCACATGACTCCATCCACCAACTGCTCGGGGACTCACTGGCCCTTGGTGTAAGCGATCTCTGTCCCTCCATGAGAATGACTCAATGTCGGCCATAAATAAGCACCGGATGGTCTCTGGGGTCAGAATCTCCTACAGCATTTGCCGTCCAGATGCTCCCCACACATCAGAAAGTATCTTGGGCTCAGAATCAGGACGTAGACGTCCTTGATGGAGCCCTCCATCCTCCCTCCTTGCCCCCTGCTCTCTTACCTCTGTGACCAGCTCTCTTACCTCTGTGACCAGCTGCAGGTCATTCACATAGTTCTCCTCCGTGACAATGAGCTCGTGGATGTACCCTTGTCGTTTTCTTTCAGTTGGGGTCAACATATCCAAGAGATGTAAGTCTGAACACCCTGGAAAACACAACCATTTGGGAGAATTTAGTACCAGTCTGGAGAAGCCCATATGACATCAGATGGAAGATCCTTGAGGCTGCCGGGCCCCAAGGCCTCACTCCAGTCCAGCGGGTCATGGGCTGAATACGTCCTCCCCAATCATATGCGGAAGCCCTAACCCCCGGTACCTGTGAATGTTACCTTATTTGGAAATTGGGTCTTTTCACATATAATCAAATTAAGATAAAATCATCACAGGGTGGGGGCCTGACGCAATATGACCACTGTCCTTATGAGAAGAAGACATGGAGACAGGCAGAACCTGGAGAGCCTCTTCCCCAACCAAGGCACACCTGAGCCTTCAGAGTGAGCGTGGCACCTGCCAACCTCATTTTACACTTCTGGCCTCCAGAAACGTGTGGCAGTACGTCCCTGTTGATTTAAGTCCTCCGGTTTGTGGTCGTTTGTCAGGGCAGCCCCAGAAACTGACTCAGGCAGCACACTCCTGCTTCATCAGAAACTCTAAAATAACGTGAAAACAAGACACACGGTGGCGATTGGCCGAAACTCCCAAGGGCTCACACCATGTCGGGTGGTGAACTGCGTTGAATGCTCAAGTATTATTACACTAGAACTATCCCCATTTTACAGGTGAGGACACTGAGGTTTACATAGGGTGACTCGCCCCAGTTCTCTCGGCTCGGAAGTGGTGAAGGCAAGAGCTGAACCCCGAGACTTGGACTGCAGAGGCTGTGCTGAGGCCCTGTGTTACCTATGTCCAGGTTGGTTTGTGGAAGATGAGGTGGCTGTGCTGAGGCCCTGGGTTACCTATGTCCAGGTTGGTTTGTGGAGGATGAGGTGGCTGTGCTGAGGCTCTGATGGTCCTAGGGGCCAGGCAGATGCCAGGTGCATCCAGACAGCGCTGGGCACACTCTCCTGGACAAGGCTGCTGCTGGGCCTTGGGGCAGCCGAGCAGCAAGCTTGCTGCAGACAGGGAATTCCCTTCCACTGCAGAGAGCCTCACACAAGACCACCACGGAGGCCAAGGCTGCCTGAGGGGAAGGGCTACTCTGCTGCCCTGAAATGGTGCCCACACTGGAAGTGGGGCTGACTCTTGGCTCTGCTCACTTAGCTTGTGATTTGGGGTTTTGTTTGAATGTCTGAGCCTCTTGCCCCAGACACACTGGAATGAGGGGTGGGGAGGCTTGGTTCCTGGGAGCATCCCATGTGCAGTCCTGGGCCCACCTCTCCTTTTTATCAGAGGTTTTTTATTAACTCACAGAAGCCAGACTTGAAAGAGACAGGGAGGTCACCCGAATGTAGGTGAGAGCGTCCGGGCTGAGTCCCGTTTACTTCTTTTTCCATCCTCTCCATTTTCATCCCCTCTGTTCCCCTCAAGGGGGTGTATGGGAGCACAGTGCAAAAACCCTTGCTGGGGACTAGTGGTTGTCAAAGTGTGGTCCCCAGGCGGGCAGCATCAGCATCACCTGGAGCTCATCAGATTCCCGTGCTGAAGTGACTCTGGAGTTGGGGGCTGGGTATCAGTGATTTAACAAGCTCCACAGGGGATTTTTGTTTTTAGGTGCATTAGTATTCGAGAAGCCTGCTCTGGACTACCAGGGGTTCCTCGAGTTTCCATCTTCGCTCGAGGAACTTGTCTGGGGTCATGCCTGATCTAGCCTATATGCTAAAAGCTGCTGCAAATGGTACGATCCCTTTGGGGCAAATGGTATCAGAGATTTCTTGGCAAATGCTTTGCTGCTTTAGAGGTTTCTTGGGCTGTGGTGCTTCCAGCCCTTGCTTTTGTCCCTTCTCTGGGCCAACTGTCCTTTCTGGATTCTGTAGCTTCTCTTGCTAGGACAGGACCAGCAGGAGGATGCTGGGAAAGCAGCAGAAATGAGCCATCATTATATTAACACCCTCAACCTCACTCAGAGTTCCCTGCCCGAGGTCAAGCAGAATTCCCCAGGGCTGCAACGTGAGCTCGCGCCTTTGCACAGGGCTGCAGGTGCGCCTGAGCTCGTGCCTTTGCACAGGTCTGCAGGTGGGCCTGAGCTTTCGCCCTCTGCTCAGCCACAGGTTTGGCCCAACTGTTTTTCCTGTCTCAGGGCATAGATTGTCTTTTATTGAAATAGCTGTACCAACAATAAACTCTCAGGAAGGAGGCGGACCGTGGGGCTCTCTCATTCAGTACAGCTGGGCTGCTGTGTGAGCTTGGTTTTGTGGGAAGCTGAGTGATGTTTCCGGGTTCTTTGACTTTTATTGGGAAGGTCACCCAAGAAACACTCGAGTTTGAGGGGAAATATATCTTGTTCCTGCCCTCTTTTTACCCCACTGTCCTGTGAGTGAGTGAAAGGACCCAGGCGTCAGGCCATTTCTTGTGAAACAGCTGAATGCAACCCTCGCATTAGGCAACTTGGATGCCCTCTCACTGAAGCAGAGCCCCTGGAGTGGCCAGGACGTTCCCTTCTGCGGGGAGATTACAATATTGGCACAGAGCGTTAGCTCTAAAAGTCACTGCACAAACACGGGGCAGTGATGTTTGCAGCCACACAAACATCAGGCCCGTAGTGGCTACTGATTGGGCCAGTTTTCCAAACGTCCCTTTGAGAATGCCCCACAGTTCCCCTGAGGAATCTGAGGGACGTTGTGGGTTCTCGCTGCATCAAATACACGTGTACAACACACATGTTTGGGGCACACTGTCATTGGGTTCGCAGGCCCTCTTCAAGACTGTTCATAGATTTCATTCATTCATTGGGCAAATATTTACTGAAGTCCTCCTGTGAGTCTAGCACTAACCACTGAGGGTGCTGGGGATTCAGGACTGAAGCGGAGAGGCTCCTGCCCTCCGGGGTACAGCTAAGCACCTTGGGGTCCGATGGTCCTCAACAGGGGGTGGTATTGCCCCACCCTCCGCTGAGGGTGGTACTGCTCCCCACCATGTTGAGATCAGTATGGTCCCCATGGCTGACCTCAATGTGGTGAGGTCTGAGGGTTGTACTGCACCCCACTCCAGCCCCAGAGCTGAAAGTGTTCTTGTCACAGTGGAATATGGCAGGCTGGCCAGGATTGCTGAATGACCCACGACATGCAGGACACAGAACTGCCCACCCCAAATGCCAACAGAGGTGCACCCTGTTAAGAAACACTGGCATTACTTGAAACTGACAACCCCACCAGAGTTACGGGCTGCAGCACGGAGGTGCGAGGGGCCAGCAGACCCGCGTCGAATGATGAGGAATCGGAAGAAAGGACCTATGAGGAAAGGTCCTGGCTGGCTTTGGGTTTCAGAGGTTCTTCTGAGTCTCCAAGTTTTACGTGGTGCAGGTTGTGAAGAAGCTCAGAGCCAGAGCAACAGCAGAAGCTTCAGGGCACATTTGGGCCTATGGCCAGGCATGGTGGCTCACAGCTGGAATCCCAGCACTTTGGGAGGCCCAGGCGGGCGGATCATGTGAGGTCAGGGGTTTGAGACTAGCCTGACCAACATGGTGAAACCCCATCTCTACTAAAAATACAAAAAAATTAGCTGGCCATGGTGGCAGGCACCTGTAATCCCACCTACTCAAGAGGCTGAGGCAGGAGAATCATTCGAACCTGGGAGGTAGAGGTTGCAGTGAGTGAGCCGAGATCTCACCACGCACTCCAGCTAGGCGTCAGAGCAAGACTGTGTCTCAAAAAAGGAAAAAACTATTGGACCATTTGTCCAACATTCCTAGGAGTCCAGGGCCAGTTGGGGACAAGCTGGAGGGGCTACCATGTGGCCTTCTGCTCCAGGTAGCGTTGGCCTCTGGCCCAAACACTTTGCAAGGCCCAAGTCAGAGCTGATGAAGCTTGGAGGTCAGGGGAGGCGCTGGGCAAGTTTGGGCTGCTCGCACCCCAAATTCCACCCCTCGCAGGTCCACCTCCCAGCCTGCCTGGAGACAGGGGGATGGCCCCGATGGCCTCTGCAGAATGCAATGGAAAGCAAAGGTTTTGTGGGGAGTCTTCTCTACATGATGTGCCAACAATGTTGGCTTGGAATCATCTTGGTAGCCATCAAATTCACCCAGTGGAGGCTGTTTTAACACTTCTTGCTGGTGAATGCCAGACCAAGAGAACCATTAAAGACTTCAAATAGGCACTTTGAACTCAAAAATATCCTCCTTTGAAAATTTAATATTTAGAAAAACAGGTGAGTTTAAAAACTCCATTATTCAAAGCATGGTAAATGGAAAAGACATTTCAAATAAAAGCGTTTTCTTTAGGGGTGGAGGGACGTGGCCGTTCTCTCCTTTGGGTCCTAAGAGAAACACAGTTTCTGGCCCCCTTTCCCAGGGAAAAACGAGAGGAGAAAGCCAAGCAAATGGTTTTCCATGAACATCTCAATGTGACAGAGGGATTCTCAAAACGAACTGAAATCCACACACAGCTGAAATAATATTGCAAATGACGCGAGGCGGTTACAAATGATCCCCCATTACAGCCCACATAAAATTCCGAATCTATGTGCCATCCCCTAGAATGCCGTGTAGTTAGACACATTTACAAAACGCAGAGACATGTGATGGCCTCTGAAGGATTTTTGAGTCTAGGCCCTGGAGAAAAGCATGGGGGAAAAAATCTTACCAATAAAAGGTCATCTTGCTTCCCTCAGCTGATATTCATATGAACCGCATTATTTCAAGAACTTGTTTTATTGCAGAAGCAATACAGAAACACATGCTGATTATAAAATTTCAAGGGCTACAGAGCATTTAGGGTGAAAAGTGCACCGCACCCCTCTCCACACCTCCAATTATTCTACCTTTCCCGGCAAGGAGCAGAATGTTGAAAACCAAGCCAACTCCCCCAAGCAAGTTGCCCATTGAGCAAAGCAAACACACAGGCCTCGTTCCTGTATGAAAGGGCCAAAATATATAATAAGCTGGTCCATAAATAATTATTAAGTTCCTCTGAAGTCCAAGAGACACAGAAATAAGCAAGATACTGTCCTTGTCCTCAAGAAAACTCACAACCTTGGGGGAGAGTTTCCTAAT